ACCAAGGCGCTCCCGCCTAGTGATCATCAGCGGCACTGTACTTCTTTAGGCCTTGTGTCCACGTTCCCTCACTTGCTCACTGCTTGACACTCTTTTTACTGTACTTTATATATATCTTGTTGCTTGCTTGCTAGGTTTTGATCACTGTGTTGCTTGTCTTGTACTATATCTAGCACTGCATGTGAACTGGCCTTGTGGCCTTTGCTTGTGCTCGGAGTGTGGTGACGTTGTGATCCACCCTGGGCTTGCGTTGCTTTGCTGGACTGGTCTTGTGACCCCTTGTTCTCCCCCACTTTGCCTATGGGGGTGTGTTAAATTGTAATGTGTTATATGTTGGTAGGCTGTAGTGGGGTAGCCAATATGGGGTACAACCCCAACTAGGGTTTCCTATTTGTACCCTTGCTTCTTTCAATCCAATCATTCTTGCCTAGTTCTTCTGACAAGAATTGCCATGATATTTGTTCAATCTTCCAACGTATGATTGTTAAATTGTAGCTGTCACTTGCTTTTTGTGATTTGTAGTACATATTTTTGCCTTCTGTTCTATCCCAATTCATTCATGCCACACATTGTAAAAGATACGCATGGTGCGTCTCTCTGCATGTATTCTATGTTTTCACTTCAATTGTACCATTCACTTCTTTTATTTCCAGATCCCTTGCATTTCTGTCAGGCTCAAGATCTCGTCTTTCGAACCGAACCGCGCGCTACCAAAGTTCACGGCCGGCATCCATGATTCAACGATGAAGAGCGCTTTGATAGCGCTCGGGGATGCCGCCATCAGGTTCAACTCCAGCTGTGAGAGTTATTTTGCAGATCACCCCGATGCTAGCGATGTTCCTGTCTTCATCAGCAACGTGTATCTCAAATCGGCAGTTTTCACGACGACAGTGCCTTCGGACATTGTCATTCTCGATCCTGTTCCAGCATCCGTCACAACGGATGCACCAGTCACCGAGCTACAAGACGTCGGTCTTGTTGACTTGTAAGTTATCAAAATTTGCGCAAGTGAGTCGTTACTAGCGAAGGTGAAACTCATTAGTCATTTTTTGTTTTAAATGATCAGGATGTCTCATGTGGACACATTGGTGACGGTGACAAACGAAGACAACATAGCAACACTTGCAGCAGTCCTCAGAGACCCAGTGCACGATAGTCGAGTTGTCTGCGCTGCTGGTGCAGGAGATTCCATTTGCGGAATGCCTGTTTTCACCTCCGCGGCTTCGGAGGTTCACAGATGTCGCGTCCACAAAGCGACATCAGTCCGCGCGTTTGATAACGTGACAGCGACTCTTGTTGTTCACGAGAGTGGTAAGCATGATGCCTAGCATTTTCGTTTTGATGTCTGTCATACTTTCCACAAATCTTAAGTATAATGGCATTGTTTTAATATAAATTCCCCTATGTTTCATTCTCAGATTCGTTCACGACGCAGGCTCAGGGATTGGAGATTCAGCCTGAAATCTTGGGACGACTGTTCTCAAGGTTTCAGGTTTCGGATTTCCACTCCATGACAATGGGCGAGCGGCAAGCTGCATTGGACGCGCTTTGTGGCCGGTGGCATGTGAAGGTATGTGGATTCAATTGTTAATCTTTTATTTGTTTGCTAAGATTTTTGTTTACTTGTGTGATGTGCACTTTAGTATGTTTTTTTTTTTTTCTAATGTGATGATTGATAGCTCTCTAACTCAAAGTATCGTTCATTGCTATTGAAGGTCCACTTTCGTTCAGACGGAGCACGTGTGAGCAAGACCATCTTGGACATCTCGACGATCACGCAGTCAATCGACGCTACAACAAGCTTTGACACATCGAGCACACCGATTTCGTCAACACCCGCCAAAAGGAGACAAGACGTGAGCATATTTTTTATTGTGATTTTCTACATGTACCCGTCATAATGGTAGTTTGATTAACGTTATGATTTTTTTTCTTACATTTGAAAATTGCCCTTTTTTTTGTGCAGCGATGGTGAAGCTGTGAGCGATTTGAAACAACGGACAAGATGCTCACAGGAGTTATAATGTTATAATGTTATAATTTCGATGGGTTAAATCTTATACATTTGGACAGATTATTATAATGAGTACAGACCTGCGTGAGCGTGAGAACAATTAGCGTGAGAGATGTAAAAGGTATTAATAAGCGACTGTCTCTTTAATTTGTGTGGTTATGCGTTGTGTTGTGTGCGTATGCCCTTTCATTCATGTTTCCATTGCATTAATAACGCATGTCTGTGAGGTTTAAAAATTGGGATCAAACTATCATTTCCGAGAAGGTTCTTTGCGCACTCAGTGAGTGTGTCCATTTGAACTGGATTTGATGGAATTGACCTTTTTTTTTTTTAATCACACAGATTGTGTTGTTTCATGTGATTGTTGGATGATTCATACGCTAAGCTATTGGCTTCCCCCCCATGCTAGGCAGGGGATGCGGTAGCCTAGTGTATGGGTCAACTAACTATCACACATGTCAATCACCTTACGTATTCACAACATTGGTGTAGTACACATATGCATATACTACTCATACAACTATAGCATATACATCATATTATGCATTATCATTTCATGTTTGGCTCACTATATTCATTGTTATGCATGCATTTCATCCTCATTTATGTCCGACAGAATATTACTGCGTATGCATTACAGAATATACAGTGCAGGTTTGGAATATCATCGAAGAGAATCATAATTTATACATACGAAGAGTCTGGCCAACAAAATATTTGGAAGAAATACAACGGTTCCATACCACGTGGTGGGCTCAAATGACATTATTTTGGATCACTTTCTATGTAAATAAATAGAGTACGAATACGGAAAAAAAAATTGTACATAATGATCGCAATAGGTTGCTTCGCAACCCAAAAACATAAAATGTCAAATGCAACCATCGCGAACTCAAATGTCGAATGCAACAACTTTTTCATTGGCCAATGTCACACAATCTCACAAGCAGCTGAACGCTAGTAGCCAGAGAATCGCAGATCTAGCATTTCGCCGCCATATCGGCCCTTATCGGGCAATCCGTCGCCAGGTTGGTCCTTATCTAGCATTCCGCCGCCAGGTCGGCGCGGATATTGTAATGCCAAGCCCCTTATAATAGAGTTTACAATGATTAGATAGATCCCAAGTACTAAAATAAACTCTATCTATACTTACAAGGAGGTGTTGGGTTGTTGTAGGAGAGTCTCCTTGAAGCTCTTGATAAGAAACACTTGAGAGAGTTGTGTAAGGAGTTGTGTAAGAGAGCTCAATGACTTAGGCAAAATAATCCAATTTCCAATTGATTAGTTGGAGTGGAAAGTCAAGAATGAGCTTGGTAGCTCAAACCCCCTCAATACATCCTTTGGAGAACTTTCCCAACCATGGATTCCATGGTGGGATGGTTCATAGGCAACTAGATTGGATTGGAAAACCCAACTTTGCACCATTGTATGGTTGCATTTTAGATTAAGTAGATTGTAACATTGAACTGGCAGTTTGTGATTGGTTCAAAATCCAACCTTCAATATTTCCTTGGTTGGGTTGGAAAAATTCCAAGCCTCCAAAGTTGAGGTTTGGCAAACCCAAACCAAGTTTCATCCCAACCAACTCAACCATCTTCTCCAACTCTCTCTTTGTGGAGAGAACTCTCGACATTTGACAGATTGCTAGGTTTGACATTTGACAGGTGGAAGAAGCTAGGTTGCTAGGCAGTAGTTAGGGCAATGCGTTACAGATATGGCATTCCCTGATACGTTTTTCCCCCTGCCCGGATCCTTTTTTACCCTGCCCGGGACACCGTATTTTGAGCGTATCCAGGGGCGGAAATCCACCGTACAACATACGTACGTTGGCATATAGTACGAACGCGACTGGTACGCCAGTCGCGTATATTCCAACATAGCTCGCCACCTGTACTTGAGCATCGCACCCATCCCCACTTGAGCACTCAGTTTTCAAAGAATTCATTCAGCATGCTGTGCCGCACACTCCCTCTTCTCCAAGCTCCCCCTTTACACCACACTCTCCCCTCCATGCCTCCCTGATGCCCCCTTCCTCTCCTTTGTTTCTCGCTCCCATGCCTTCTGTGTTGACTGACACATGCCTTCTCGCAGCATTATGGACGGCAACCAGCTGGTGGGGCAGCTGCCCTCTCTGAAGCGCATGGCAGCGCTCAAGACTGTGGCTGCACGTAGCAATTATATCACAGCAGTAGCAGAGGCACCTCCGGCATGCCCTACATACCAGCTGCTGCTGGAGAGCAACTGCTTTGCCGAAAGCCTCACCATCTGCAATGAACAGCAAATCCAGAGGGAAGCTGGTTGGTGCAAGTGGTTCTGTGGGAACGATCACTTGAGCCCACCTTGCGGCGGCCACGGAGTCTGCATCTACCTGCTTATGTATACATCTCCACCCTCCTGCACTTGTAAACGATCACTTGAGCCCACCTTGCGGCGGCCACGGAGTCTGCATCTACCTGCTTATGTATACATCTCCACCCTCCTGCACTTGTAATTATGGTTACACCAGTGAAACTCCTGTCACCTGCATCCCGAAAGGTAAGGCAATGATGCTTCCTTTGCTGCTCGTAGGTGCATATCTTATTTACCTTCCGGTCTTGAAAGACTAAAATTGTCGTTCTTGACACTACAACCACGTAGGCTTGTTGTTATTCCCACAATAATTACCCTCACGAACCCATTCCAACCGTCATCTGTACCCATTTCTCTACCCATGCATCCATACGCACCCCTTTCCATCACAAACTGAGCATTGCTCTTAACTTCAGGACCATACGTTCCCTCCCTCCTCTCCTCCTACGAAGTCCGAATGGCTCTCTTCCAGCTGGCCTCCTCTCCCCCCAATGGCTCCATCTTCCTCACTCCAACGCCATCCACTGCATCATGGGGAGCGGCCTTCACACCACGACCCATCACCCTCTTCCTCTCCACCAACAAAAAGCAGCCCTGCGAGCAGGCCATTGGATTCTCCGTCTCGTTCACGTTTTGCATGACCCCTGCTATCTCTGGTAGCAGCATAGCAGGCGAGGGCCTGGCGTTTGTAGTTACTGCAGCGGCACCCCAGGGGGCTGCAGCAGGGGTGGGGCTGGGAGGGGTGGGACAGCGGAGTGTGGCGGTGGAGTTTGACTCGGTGCTGAGTGTGAAGCACAGCGACCCCAACGACAACCACGTGGGCGTCAATGTGGGCGGCTCACCTGTGTCCCTCGCCTCTGCCACGGCCCCTCTCATCCTCAACGACGCCCACACCAAGCACGCCTGGATCCACTACGACCCCACCAACGGTGGCACTCTCCGAGTCTTCCTCTCAGCCTCCAGACAGCAGCCGTCCCAGGCTGTGGTGACCGCGAGAGTGTATCTGTGCAGCGCGCTCAAGCCCACCATGGGCAACGCGTCCTTCTTCTTTGGCTTTGTTGCTGCTGCTTTGAACAAATCCCAGAGGCACGACATCCTGTCGTGGAAGATTACCACTGGTGAGTACAATCATCAGCAAGGTTCAAAATTACGGTTTTCGTAAAATACAGTCCGTATTTTACGATCGTTTTTTACGGCGATTTTTCAAAAAAACGGCCGTTTTTTTGTTGGAGAACTCTGTTCACCAAGAAAAAAAAAAGAGAAAAACAAGGGCAAAAACATTTTCAAACATGCAAACAAGCGCATACATGCAAGAAGGGCTCCATCCCCTTCATGCTGCTGCATTTCGGGTTCAATTTGGTCCCACTAAGTGGCCGTTTTGTTAGTTATAGAGGAAACACCTCCTGGAACCGTTTTAAACCGTTTTTTACAAACGTTTTTTACGGTACCGTTTTTTACGGTAAAATTTCAATAAAACGGTCGTTTTTTTGAACCCTGATCATCAAAGATGTCCATCAACAGGACCACAGCTACGTAGCACAGCTCTGCCAGTTTTGCATCGTGGTGCTCGAAATGGACGCTTATGTTTGCATGTTGTGTGTGTGCTTACCCATGTATGTGCGTGTATTACCAAACACGGTGTATGTGTGGTTGTGTGTGCGTGTGTGTGTGTGTGAGTGTGTGTGTGTGTGTGTGTGTGCGCGCGCGCGCGCGTGCGTGCGTGCGTGCGTGCGTGCGTGCGTGCGTGCGTGCGTGCGTGCGTGCCTGCCTGCGTGCCTGCCTGCGTGCGTGCGTGCGTGCGTACGTGCGTGCGTGCGTGCGTGCGTGCGTGCGTGCGTGCGTGCGTGCGTGCCTGCCTGCGTGCGTGCGTGCGTGCGTGCGTGTGTGTGTGTGTGTGTGTGTGTGTGTGTGCGTGCGTGTGTGCGTATGTATGTTATGTGCTTGTGTGTGTGTGCGTGTGTGCATCTGTGTGTGGGTATGTGTGTGCGCGCGTGCACGCGCGTGCGTGCGTGTGTGTGAATGTGTCTGTGCGCGCGCTTGTGTGCGCGTGTGTGTGTGCGCGTGTGCGTGTGTGTGTATGCCTCTGTGTGTGTGTGCATACATGCAGGCATACCTCCGGTTGTGGATTGGCAAAATGAGGCACCTGGTGAGCGCACTTTTCCTTGCACGTTCGCAATCTTTTATGCCATTCCAAGAGTTATGCATGCCTTGGGCATTGCGCTCGCCGCAGCTGTCTCCAGATATCATCCATCCCATACAAACAACTCTATTATTCCTTGGAATCCACCACTGCGAACCACCAGGCAAATCATTTGGGGTGGTGGCATCAGCAGAGGAGGTGGCGGCAGCGACTGAAGGCGGAAGTGTTCCCTCCCCCTTCCACTATGCCAGCCTCACCTTCCAATCTGACAGCCCAGTTATGGAGCCGTATTGGGAATTTCCACCTTTTGTTTCTTGGATGCAGAATGAAGCAACGTGGCCTGTGAAGAACCAGCATGGATGCGGTACGACATGGATGGATAGGATATGGTATCAAAGCATAGAGACCTCAAAATCATCCAAACTATGACTGTATCCACCTATGATGATTGCACTGGCATGTCAAAACCTTCCAGCAACCACATCAGCCCTCCTTTTGACACCCCCACTGTGCCCCTTTCTCAACGCCCCTCGCACGCCCCTCGCCGCCTGCAGCCGACTCCTCGGCACACGCAGTGGTGGCGGCGGTGGAGGCAGCCTACAGCATCGCCAGCATCCCCCCCGGCTGTGTGTGGAGCAGCTGCGGCTGGCCCTCTCTGCCAACTGTGACGACATGCCTCCGCGCGATGTGCTGGCCTTCCTGGTGGCTGCCACGCGCAACGGAGGGGGGCTCGTGGATGACGCAGCAGCAGCAGCAGCAGCTGCCAGTCCACACAGCTTGGCGTCCGCTGGCCGGCGGGAGAGACTGCCCATGGTGAGTTTCAGCAACTGGTAAATACTCGTGCTCTCTCATGCTTGTGGGGATGGCTGCAAGCTGAAGGGGAAGAATGAAATTAGGGCGGAGCATTGGAGGGTGCCCGCTCAACCTGTGGCTGCATGCACTTGGGAAAACTGTTTTTGCAGCTCCACTATATGTCTTGGTGCCTGGTTTCTGAGATACATCGTTTCATACTCACTGTGCTACACGCTCTTCTTCATCATTACCCATCTTGCCTGTCTTGCAGAAGATTAAGTACTACGGGATTCAAGGCTTTGAGGAGACCTCCTTCGATGGATGGCTGGGTCTGCTGCTAGCAGTACAGCGCCAGCCAGTGGTTGTGCGAATAGAGGCTTCCGCAAGATCGTTCCTTGAGTATGATGGGGTGAGTACAACCATTCTGTCAGGGGGGGAGAGGGGGTGGGGGGGGGGGTTGGTGTAGGGATGGGGGAGGGGGGGGTAGGGATGGGGGGGGGGAGGGCATAACGTTTTGGAATATCGACGCAGGTATGGGTGCAATACAGAGAAGTGGGTTTGCGTGTGTTTCACGACGAATGTGTGGCTTTTGAAAACTTGACTTGTGTGACCATCCCCGTGTGCACTCCCCTCCACCCCCCCTGCACCACCTAGACATACAAGTACGCAGACGCCAGCTGCTTTCAAGAGGGGGTGAACCACGCAGTGCTGCTGGTGGGCTATGCTTTGCAAGGCAGCACATCCAGCCCTTTCAGCCTGGATGGGCCACTCTGGGTGATCCGCAACTCATGGGGCACCGGGTGGGGGGACGTAGGGCACATGTACATGGACATCCAAAGCGGGCCTGGGGTGTGTGGCATCAACACACTGCCAGGCATCGTCCCCATCCTCCGATGTACGCGTAGAGCTGTGGGTTCATGGATTGTCTCTTGTATTCTCGTTTCTGTCATTTGTGTCCCTATTGGTACCATGCGTGCTTCTTGTGCCAATCATCTGGTGTTTTCTGCCTTTTATGCCATGGATGTTGCTGGCTTTCTGTGCCATGGCTCCACCAGGTCACTATGTTTCATCACAGGCTCCAGTTACACAGCTTTTCTCATCTGTATGTGGTGCGTGCTGTGTGCATGACAGCTACTTCTGATCCGTGTGGCAGCAAGTCACTGATCCTACAAGGCTCATCAGAAGTGCCAATGACCAACGCGTTCAACCCGTGTGGGAAGTTCAAGTGCTCCAAGGCCGGAGCATCCAACCGCTGTGCCTGTGCTGCTCCCCACTTCGTCCAAGCCTCCCACCCTGATGGCTCCAACATCTGCGCCTATGGTGAGTCCACCCCACCTTTTTGCTTACTCGCACTCTAGTGACTGCTCTTTTTCCTTCACCACTCACTTCATCAACTACTTCTCCTCTCTGCCCTGCCTACCTGCCAGTGGACGCCTGTGGGCTGGCAGGCAGCAACCCATGTGTGGTGGGCACGTGTGTGAACGATGGCAAGGGCAGATATTCCTGTGTGTGTCCCCTGGGGTTCATTCAAGGCACCACCGCCAAGGGAGCCCTCTCTTGTGCTCGTGGTATGCTCCTCCCCGCCTGTATTCTCCTCCCCGCCGGTATTCTCCTCCCCACCGGTATTCTCCTCCCAGCCGGTATTCTCCTCCCCGCCGGTATTCTTCTCCCTGGCTCTATTCTCCTCCCTGGCTTTATTCTCCTCCCTGGCTGTATTCTCCTCTCTAGCTGTGCTGCTCCACGCCCTTGCTTGCTTCTTTACCACTATTCTCTGCTCCAGGACATTGACGAGGGCTGTATTGTTTTTGTATGAGTGATGATCAAGCATGTAAAATTGCCATGTTTTTTTTTTTTGTTTTTGCCGGCCATTTGTAACTCGTTAATTGGTTGCATTATGCTTTGAGCAGGTGACAGCAAGGGCAGCTACAAGGTGCTTGGCAGAAATGTGTGGTGCTCTCAAGTGCTGTCTGTTTTCGGTCTCACTCTAGACCAACTCAAGCAGCAGAACAAGATGCGCATCTCCTCATTCTGGCAACACTCTACCACAGAATCTCGTATGAAGCCTTCAACCACCCTTCCCTCCTCCAAGCCTGCAGAAGCTCTCCTGCACTAAGCCAATACCAGTGGGATCCAAGCTGGTTGTCAAGAGGACTCAATCTCTTCCAGACTGCTCGCTCTTCTACACCATCCAGATTGTGAGTGATCCCATATTATCAGGGCACATATTTCCTCGTTTTGCAAACGATTTGCACGGAGAGAAATGTTCAGATTTATTTGCACACCAAGAGCGAATTTGGCAAAGATGTATGATCCCCCCAAATAAATTTTATTTTCATGCGCACAGGGGGAAAGCTGTGTGACAATCGTTCAACAATTCAATCTGAGCGACAGATGCCCTGGGAATGGCGATCAGGCATGTGTGGATGCGGTGGTGGGGCTCAACCCTGGGCTCAACTGTTCAGAGCTCACACGCAGCCAGGCTGTGTGTGTGGAGCGCGTCGAGAGCAGGGCAAGGGAGGTGGCAGTGTGTGATAAGGAGTATGAGGTCCAGGTGTGTGGCGGCTGTGATTCTGTGATGGCGGCCATGGATCCACCTTTGAGCCCATTGGAGTTCTACCGCCTCAACCCAGGCATCAACTGCAAGTGCTTGTCTACCAATTTAGAGGAACGCTATTCGCCGCGCAAGGTGAGGACTTATTCACGGGCCATAGTGCCAATAATTTCAGAGGCTCACCTGCTCACCTACACCACGCCTGTCCTGATGCAGGTTTGCGTTAGCAGCAGTACAAGGTACAAGACTGGCACCTGCCCACGAGGCACCTACAGCACTGTAGCCGGAGACAGCTGCGCCATGATTGACGTGAAGGGATTTGCCAGCATCAAGGGGTGCTACAGGAAGATGAATGGCTTTGATTGTTTGGAGAAAATGCTGCCGGGGACAACTGTCTGCACCCCTGAAGCTTCTGCTGCTCGAGTCGGGATATGCTCCTTGGATAATAGTTTTCGTGCATAATACAGTTATACGGGAGTAATCCTGCCCCGCGCGGCCCGCAATTTGGTCCGCGAGCTTCAGAGTCTGGAAAACCATGAATTATAGCAAAAGTCCCAGGTCTTTCTGGTTGTAATACAGGTTCGTTTGAAGGTACACTGAGGCCACAGGGCAGTTTTTAGGAAATCAGAATTTGCCCTGAATTGTCAGGGCTGCACAAAGTGAGGTATCCTGAGTGCTATATTTGAATCTGTCCTGTAAACTCAGTGCTATATTATGTGATAGGTAGCGGGTAAAGCGACAGTGCGTTACATAAAAGGTCTCCAGCTTGATTCCCGCTGGCTCCTACGTGTGAGGTGCTCGACCGTACATGTTTTGGGCCCCGAAACCCAGGGAGATCATTATCCTGACTCATCAGGGCTGAACCTACAGCCTTATCCTGAGTTTCCAGTACGCAAAATAACCGTTATACTGAAATTACAGGACAATTATTCCTGTTATGCTGCTGTTTTTCCAGGACTAGCACACGACACTTACCGTATCCTGAATTCAGGAGAATCAGGATAAATTATCCTGATAACTAAGGCCCATACGAGGTTGGCCTGATATGAGACCATAGGAACACACCCTCATATACGAGGGATTTCAGTACCATACCATGGCTAGCAAGGGCATAGAACCCTGGTATGCAAGGTTTCATCTCGTTATGTACATTCACTATGCCAATGTCAGTTGAAGACTTTCGCTGTCTTTCTCAATGCCCTATCCTACCCGTCATCGCCCGGATATAAGACATATATGTCTTATCTCGTACACGGGCAAAAATGCTTGAGTTATCTTGTAAACGGGATGCTTTAGGGTGTCTTATAAATCTTATAAATGGAAACTTTTTAAACTACTTAGAAATATTTTCCGTACTTCTTGAAAAAGAGTTCCTCATAATGAGTGTGGATGTTGCGAAGGTGCCACTTCGGCAACCACTGCCCGGGACGCCACGTCATGGAGAACACCTGCAGAGGCAAATTTGGTAGGTCCTGGGTCAGCGCGTGGAGAAATTCGCGCTTCGCAAGGGTAAAAATGTACGCGTTATTTCAACTTTCGCTATAATATATTGAAGTTTCGATTATAAGACATATATGTCTTATCTCGTACACACAAATAGGTGTCTTATAATGAGGCTAGCCTGTTTATAAGAGACACCCGTATAGTAGACAACCCCTGTCTACTATTCAACACTGTCTTATATCCGGGCGTTTACGGTAGTTTGAAGTTCCTCAGGCTATCACAAATACTATCCACCTGCACCCCTGTGCCCAAGTCTCCCAAACCCGATCCTTTCTTCAGCCCTCGACTCATGAGTGTCGATCTCCCTGGACTGGACCAATCCGGGAGCTTCCAGGGTTCCAGGAAGTGCACCATAGCCCTGATAATGCGGGGACTTCGGAAGTAAGCCCCGTGGTTGAGATCGAATTGGACTGTCAGCTCAACAAACCGCTCCTCTATCATCACACACAGCTGCTTCACCTGCACGAGGGAGGAGGAGGCGACATGGACCAGGTCAAAAAGGGGGGGAAAATACACTTCAGGTAAGGCTTCCCAAAACTCTAAATTCTAAGCAGACCATGGCGGCTGTTAAGGAGAGAGTGATCCGCACCGCACACGGCTCGCTTGCTTATACGGTATCATAAATTGTGCACCTCCTCGTTGCATGTTTGCTTACCTTCCAGCTAGGTAGCAAGTCAGGTTCAAAAATATCACTTGCTTTCCTGCCACATGCACCCTCAACTGCAGGCTGTGTGGGAGTAAACACCATTCAAGGTCACACCAGTGCACGCTTCGTAGATTGCACATTACTGAGGCCGCGGCAGCGACCAGGGCACTCGACGGCATGGCAGCTGCTGGCTCACCTGGCGCACACACTCCTGGTCGGAGAGGCGTGGGTTGTGGGTGATGGTCTGCAGCTGCGGGCGCAGCAGCTTGTACGTCTCGCACTCACTCGCTGCTGCCTCCAGCGCGCCTTCGTTCCACAGGAATTCATATGCCACCCGCTCCTCCCTGCTGCCTCTCGCACTCACTCGCTGCTGCCTGCCACTGCCGTGCTGCACTTCTGTCGTCTTCAGCTGCCCCTCGTGCCTTGGCCTAATCCCCTTCTCCCCTGTCTCTCGCTGTTGCTGTTGCTGCTGCTAGTTTCCTTTCATCTCTTCACTTGCAACCTCGACGGAGGCCTCGCCCACTCCCCCCCTCCCTGCTGCACGTCCCTCTGCAGGGCTGCCCTCTCTCCCCGCTCGCCCTTCCTTGCTTTCACCCTCTTCTTCACCCATCTCCTCACCGCCCTCCCCTCCCTCCCCCCCCTGTCGCAGAGCCTGCCCCGTAAGGCTTAAGCTCCGCCTCACGCTTCCTGGTGCTCTGCCCTGCCCGCCCTCCACTCCTGCTGCTGCCACCATGTGCTGTTGGCCCGGCACCACATGGTTCCACGGCCTCCCCCAACCCCAAGTGGGTACCTGAGAGCCCCGTTCGCGAATCACAGGGCTCGGCTGCATGCATGCAGCGGCCCTGCTGTGGTCTTGAGACACTTGTCTGTATTACGTCTATCCCTGCACTTCCTGCACCCTCAGCACCCACCCTTTCATCACCTTCCCCTTGCCTCCTCCTGCTCCTTTCTCTCGTCCGCCTTGCCCTTCCCAAGCAACCCCTCCGCAGCTACCCCTTTCCCAGTCACGCCCTCTTGAGGCAACCCCTTTTCAAGTAGCCCCTTCCCGAATACAACCTTCCCCATGTCACACGTGCCATCCTCATACCCCGCCATCACTTGGCCCCGCAATGATCGCGTCTTGGCCAGAGCCACCAGTTTCTGAGGTGGGGAGAGGGTGGGGAGGGGGGAGGGTACGAGTGGCAGGAGTAAGCTAGAGGGAGAGTGTTCATTCCCCTTCCTCACTGAACAAGCTAGACGAAAGAAGACAATTTAAAGTCACCAAGACATTTCACATCTTGGTGTGTACTGCTGCAACTGCTGCAGTGCTGCACCTGCATCGGATCTGAGCGCACCTGCACGTTCCAGTGCTGCACGTGGTGTGATGGCGACCCCAGGTGCAGGCAGTCGTCCACAAACACACTGGCGAAGCTCAGCTCCTTGGGGGACAGCCCAAAGCTCACCGTCACTACCGCTTTCCGCACCATCGAGATCACCAACGGCGCCAGCACGTGAGACAGCAGTGCTACAGCTGTTGCGGGCAGGATGAAAATTATGTTCCATAAGAAAATCCGGGCAGTGCTGCTGATGTAAAGCGTCCAATCGGAGCATTTGTTTGTGGTTGGGCGGCGGGGAAGGGGTTTCCAGAAGGGGGTTTTGCGCATGGAGGCTAGCTGCGGGACGATGTAGGCTCGGGCGATAGGCTCGGTGGATAGTGCCAGGCTGGCCTCGTCTAATATGCCAGCGTGGATGACGAGTGCTGACATGGCATGCGACCAATCGAAGCCAGGAGCGTGGTAGATGTTCCCGCTATAAAATGCCGTGCTGCGCCAGAGCTGGGATAGGGGGGTGGAGGGTAGAGGCAAGAGGAGGAGGAGAGAGAGTAAAGGGGAGGAAAGAGCGGATGACGGGAGAAAGAAAGTAGAGTGAGGAAGCAGAAAGAGAGTGCATCGAGAGTGTTGTGTGATGGACCGTGTGGGTGTGGAGAGCAGTGCAGTGCAGGAGAAAGAGAGGGAGGGATAGGAGAGAGGAGGAGAGGGAGGGAGGAATAGGGGATGGAGAGCAGAGAAAGAGGGGGTTTATTCATTAAGGTGTACGGTATGGTGTAAGTACATGCAGTCTACCACACACCTCCTTGCCATTCTATAGCCACACAATTCCTACAGTCACGCCAATACCAATATACAATGGCTTACCTACATTATACAATCACATCAGTGCCATTGCAGACACCCTCATCACATCATCGCCCTTACACGACTCAAAGTAATCGTATGGTCGCACACCCTCAAATTTACAGAACTAAAAGAAACACCTTGGACTGGAGCACCATAGGTCCCTGGGAAATACCCCTTTCTATCTAGTCTCGCCTTGATCCCACCCCAGCTTGACAGAATGACACCGCTATGAAATCACACCCACCTCCAATGCCACACTGACGACGGCAAAGACAAGAAGAGAAGCAGCGAGGGAGAAGGGCAGGTAGCTGGGCGTGGTGGTGCTGGTGCCATGCCATGCCATGCAAGTGGAGGGAGAGAAGGAAGACGAGAATTGCTAAGTCGTCCACTTAAATGTTTTGGTATCAAAACTTTCAACTTTCAATTTCCCCGCACCCCCACAATGCGCATTACCTCGCAAGCTCGCCTGCAATGGCAAGTACAATCGCTCGCCACAGCAGCCCGTAGCCCCACATCACCACGGACGTCACCCCCACCCCACGAGCACGGCCACCATGTGCTTTTTCATTACCTTGAAAGCTTGCCTGCCATGGCCAGCACCACCAGGCGCCACAGCAGCACGTAGCCCCACATGACCACGAACGTGAGCCCCACAGAGACGGCGGTGGTGAGCAGCAGCAGCAGCAGCAGCAGCACCGCCATGTCGCTGCCAGGTCTTGACGTAGAAGGGCGTGCCCAGGAACACCACCGCGCCCAGCGCATTGCACAGCGGGCTCGTGGCCAGGCGATGCGCGAGGAAGAGGCGCTGGCGATGGGAGGGCAGGCCCAGGAGGGAGTCCAGCCAGCGGTAGCGCGCCCACGGGTACCGCTCCCTCGTCCGAGCTGCTCTGTGCTCCCCCATGCTACACCCGGGGGGAGAAGTGGGAGGGGAGGTAAACGGGGGGTGGCTAAGGGGGGATGGAGCAAAGAGGACTGAAAAGTGCTTGGGTGTGTGTGTGTGTGCGCGCGCGTTTTGAGTCGACTCAAAACACACAAAGTGCTTGTGTGTATGTGTGCGTGCGTGTGTGTGCGTACGTGTGTGTGTGTGTGTGCGCGCGCGCGCGCGTGCGTGCGTGCGTGTAATCAGCTCATCAAAAAGAGACGAAGGTGATAAGAGCATCTCGCCCATCCCCACCTCTAACCCGACAAAAGAAGTTGCACACGGCCCGGCCTGTGTATTTGGTGTGTACCACCAGACCCCTTCCCAGGCTGTATACGGCATATATACACTCACCGTGTAACGTATATACGTGAGTGTGCTAAACGCACAACACATCTTTTCCAACATAGACGTATGCACGTGCGGGGGCATCGCGCGTGGGCATTGTCGCATGGGGAGACAGTCGTGTGAAGGCGTGGGGAGTAATAACCTGGGCGCATGGGGAGTATAGAGGAGGCGGGCGAGGGAGGGTGAAGCATACCTCCTTTGGACAACAAGGAAGGGGAAGAAGCGCCAGCAGGTATTGGAAAGATCAGGCTTCTGCCAGTGGCGAATCAAATCGAATCTGCTCTTGTACGCCGCCCAGAATTGTTGAAGGACAGGTGGCGGAAGATCGGAAACGTCCTTTCTTCCCTGGCCCTTCATATAGTGCGTGTGTGCGGCGGGTGGTTCAGGGGGCAGGGGGAAGGAGGAGTGGGGGAGGGGCAAGGGGAGAGGGAGGGGATAGGCAGGTGGGGACCGGAAGGGAGGGGAAAAGGGAGGGAGAGGGGGAAAGGGAAAGGGGTTGGGGGGGGGTAAGGGGGAAGGGGGGGGGTGGGAAGGAGAGGAGGATAGGGAGGGAGAGGGGGAGGGGAAACGCAGGGGGAGGGGGGAGGGAGAGGGAGTGGATACTGAGGAAGAATAATAGAAAATAGTAGGGTAGAGAGAGAGAGAGAGTGGAAAAGAGAGGATTTGGGAATAGAAAGTAGGGAAAAGATCCAGCAGTAACAAACAAAGAACGTAAAAGAAAAGGTGATGGTAAGCACTGACGAGCTCCATGGCTTTGAGCAGCACGTTGCCCCCGTGGGAGTGGGCGATGACGTGGATGCGCGCTGAGGGGTCGCCACGCCCTATCACGTCCAGCAGGCACGCCAGCTGTGAGAGTGAATGCAGGCAGGAGGTAAAAGGCAAGATTTGTGGGGGCGGAGAAAGGGGCCACAACAGGGGAGACAACAGAGAGAGGGAGAGGAGGGGGAAGAAGAGGAAAAGGGAGGAGAAGGGGTGAGTAGGTGGAGAGGGGCGAGGAGTGGGGCAGTGGGGGGGGTGGGGGGGAGCGGAGAAGAGGTGGATGGGGGAAAAAAAAACAAGAGTATATGCAGATCTTCTTTGGAGATAGTATATACAGCGTTGATTACTTTGTGTGCGGCTTGATTCGCCCTTCATGCCTGTTCGTGCCATCCCAGTGAAACGGATACGGGATGCCAAGTCGCGGAGGCGGTTCCGCCGGCAGCTCGCGCCACACGCATCCGTCGCCGAGCGGCCCCTCCGCGAGAAGCGCGCCGAGCTTGCTGCAGAAATTGGTTTCGCCGCGCGCCGCGGGCTGGTACCACGGCGTGCGCGGTCCGCCGGCCGGCGGCGCGAACGTGCCGTGGATGACGATGACGTAGTGCGTTTCGTGCGACACGTCGAACGACACCGTGCGACAGCTCGCTGGCGCTTCGGGGTCCGCATCCTCGTTATTACGAATCGGGCCGTTACATGATGCGAGATACACACATCCGCAAGAATTACCGGAGCCTGTCGGTTCACCAAATGACATTTCTGTTGGGGTGGTTCGCAGCTGCGATGGTATCTACCGGCCTCGCGCTTGTCCTAGGGGCGGTAGAACAACAGGAGCGGTGGGAAATGTCGTTCTAAGGTGGGGAACCCAAAGCTAGAACGGTGGGGGTGGAATCCTAAGAAGCTATGGAAGAACTATGTGGGAAAATCGGAATGGGAGAAACATAGGGAACAGCGAATGTCAAGAAGCTTTTTGCCGTAACCTAAAATGCCAACCGCAACCGAACCGTGTTTGGTGCGGATGCGACAAGACAGGTTTCGGCTTTGATGGTTACCGCTTTCGGTTCCGCGTGCGACACGAGACGAAACGCGTGGAGAAACCAAGGCAGCCATGGATTCTGTCTGTGACTTCGGAGAGCTCAATGCCCTTGGATTTCTTGCATTGGAATCCACGCAGCCAGATCTTCAGCAAAAAGCAGAATGGTTAAACTTAAGACGCGTTACCTCTAGCGAAAATGTCAGGATCACAGGAGGTCGGGAGCTCACACCGACACGACAGGATCGATCGGCACACCGGTGGGCGAAAAGCAATTTTGCGATCGCCCAGTCACACCGAGCCATAGGTGACGAAATATATATCTACGGGGCAAAATTGCCCGATCGCCACAACGGTCGATCTGTTTGCAGGATGCACACCGATCGCGCAATCCTGAGATGACACCTTCCGTGCTCAACAGTTACACTTTCGAAACTAGCGACATTTTGCAACCATGTTCTTGACGACGTCGCGAAAACACTGACAGGATCGATCGGGTTCATTAGATAAGAGGTGACGCATCCTAGCGGTTCATGAGATTCCGTTATTCTAACCTAGGCATCTTCTCTTCTGTTCCGCATAGAAGCACAAAATCGATCGGTTTCATAGGTGACGCATCCTACAATTCATGGGATTTCGTAATTCTAGCCTAGGCATTTCCTAGGCCTGAGAGTTTTAGGCCTTTCTCAGGCCTGTACCGTGTCACACCTTAGGCTGTCCCGAACCTCTATTATAATCTCCGCGGCCACCCTTTCCCGTTATACTCTCGTAGCGCGCTCTGCAGCAAAAGTCGCGCGCGCCCGGCTTCCCTCCGTCGCGCGCGCCCTGTTTCTCTCGTCGCGCGTCCTGCCTGGCCCTCCCCGCGCGCGTTTTCCCTCACCCTTCGCGCGTGCGCTAGTTTTCAGTGAGGCTCACCCACACACTGACCGATCATGGCAGCTCCACCTCCCGATCTACTCACCGACTCTGTCCCCGCCGCTCCCACCGCCCTGGCGGAAGGTGGCTTTCCGGGAGGGGTGCCTGGAGGGCGCGCGCCTGATCCCGGCGGGGTAGCGGGGCGCGCAACGGGTTTGACGGCCATGGGGTTCTCGGCGGGCGGGCGGCGCAATCCGCTGCGCGGAAAGAAGGCGGGCACGCCCGCCGTTGGCACCACCGAGCGCGGACTGATTTCCGCGGAGCAGCCAGCGGCGGTTACCGTGCACGCGGCGAAGAAGCATGTAGGAGGAGGGGCATGTGGGAGGAGGATGAGAGGCATGTGGGAAGAGAATTAGAAGCATGTAGGAGGGAGCCCTATCTCCCAGTTCCGTGCATCGCTTCCTCATTTCTCACACGACCGTCTTCAACCTCCTCTGCCGTTTCCTCTCTTTTCCCCCTCTGCCCCTTCCTCTCCTCCTCTACCATTCCCTCTCTTCTCCTCCTCTGCCCCTTCCTCTCCTCCTTCGCCCTCTCGTCTCGGCCCTGCGTGCGTCAGCTCGTGTCATACGGCCAGCTGGCCACGGCTCTCAAGGAGGCGGCCGGATCCACGGATCAGGTGAGCCCACACATGCCCACTTGTTGCTTCGTTTCTTCGTGCTCTCTGGATGCTGGCATCCTGACGCTCCTCCTCATCATGCCATCCAGCACAGCACGTGCCCTTGTCTGGCATCACTATGGCACATGCAGCGTGCACCATGCACCATGAAGCATGCATCTCCATGCAACATGCAACATGTGCCACACACCATGAGCTTTGTTTTCTGGTACCAGCATGTCGAAAGCAATGCAGCGCTTCTGCAACTCTGGGCAAGCACTTTCTCAACTACCAGTCCCCTAGCCCTGCATGCCCCTGATGCTGCAACGATTGTCCGCATGTGTCTCCTCAATTTTGCTTTGGTGTGCGGGGAGATCAGAAGAAGCGCCAGCAGCTGGTGGCGCTTGTGTTCCCCAAGCTCGCAGTGTACAACTCCGTGGACCCCTCTCTCGCCACCGCCCTGCTGCTCGTGAGTGCCCACGCTGCTGCCCTGCTGCTCGTGAGTGCCAGCGCTGGTGCTGCTCCCATAGCCCGACCACGACAATGTCTTGCTCCTGCTGCCTTGCATGCTCTGAACTACCAATACTTCACTCTATGTGATGTGCCATCACATTCCTAAGCCCTAGATTCCCATGGCCCCAACTCGCTACTCTATGTCCTGGATTGGCCACTTGTTTTCTCCTACACCCTTAAAATCGATGCCATTTCCCTGCTGCTTGTTTGTGTTGGCATTGAAACATCCGGCTGGCTTGTCATGGCATCGCATTAAATCGTATCACATTGCGTGACATGGCATGGTATGGCGTGACATGGCCTGGCCTGGCCTGGTGGGGCGTGGACATGGCATGGTGGGGCTGCGAGCATGGCATGGCATGGCATGGCATGGCACGGGTGGGCGAGGGTGGGCGAGGGTGTTGTTGGTGGCATGGGAGGCTGGCAGCTGCTGCAAGGGTCGTCGGACGTGGTGGTGCTGCGCTACTGCTACTACTTCCTCGCTCGCATCCTCACTGAGAGCGCCGCCGCTGGCAGCTATAATGAGGGCGGTGGCGTGCCCACCCCCAACTGGGACACCCTGGCTGACGTCTCTGCAGGTAGGTGCCTTCTCCCTCTCTCCCCCTCTCCTTCCACATGCCATCCGTCCCTACAATCTCACAAGCACGCCTGCTACTCGCTCACTGCTTCTTATGACGCCTTTTGCCTTATGCTGCTGCGTGCATGTGAATGGTGCTGCTGCGTGCATGTGAATGGTGCTGCGTGCATGTGAATGGTGCTGCTGCGTGCATGTGAATGGTGCTGCGTGCATGTGAATGGTGCTGCTGCGTGCATGTGCATGGTGCTGCGTGCATGGTGCATGGTGCATGGTGCATGGTGCATGGTGCATGGTGCATGGCAGATGGGTCTCAATCCGCCACAAGGGCGGAGCTGCTCTCTCTCATACTCTCTCGTCTCGCCACTGAAGCATCCACTCCTGACGTAGCTGGTACTCCCCTCACTTACTCTGCTGTTCAACATTGAACCACTCTCTTCTCGTCCCATGGTGCACTCCTCCTTGCCACCACCTCTCATTTTCACGCACACCATTCCACCTGGCCACCCTCTCCATCTCAACGTACCCCTGCTTTTCCCTACCCTGCACCCCGCCCTGCCCTGCCCTTCCCCGCCCTGCCCTTCCCCCCGGCAGCGCATGCGCGGCGCATGGCGGCGCTCAAGGCGCTGGCGTGTGCGCCCATGGCCCACCAGGACGCCTATGCTGCGCTCGTGCGCATCATTCTCGCCATCCTTGACTCGGTGCGCTGCTCTCCCGCTCTCGCAGCCCGCTGCCATTCTAATACCTCATTTCTCTTGTTCTTCAATCAACATGCTTGCTACTGCACTTCCCTGTTACCCTTGCACCTTGTTACGCTCGCTCGTTTACCCGCACACACTACTATGCGAGTGCTTTTGAGCTCTCTTGCTCTGCAACAGGGCTCTCGTTGAGTCTCATCTCCTGCACTGCATCTCTGTTTCCCGCACCGCACCGCACCTCCTTACCCCGTACTGCACCCCCTTACCCCGTACTGCACCCCCTTCCACTGTACTGCATCCTCTTCCCCCTCGCTGCACCCCTTTCCCCTCCACTGCACCGCTGGCAGGTGACGGAGGATCGGAAGAAGCGGCGGCGGTGGAGGGAGCTGCTGCGGCGGGGCGCCAAGGCGAAGGACGCGGCGCTGCGGGGCAACCTCTTTGGCGCCGCGCTCTCCGCGCTGCGCCGCCTGCCTCTCGACCCCGCCTCCGACGTCTTCATTGAGCGCGTTGTGCTGGGGTGAGCGGTTTAGAGCGGTGTTGGGGTGAGCCGTTTAGAGAGGTGCTGGGGTGAGCGGTTTAGAGCGGTGCTGGGGTGAGGGGTTGAGAGAGGTGCTGGGGTGAGCGGTTCAGAGCGGTGCTGAAGTGAGCCGTGCCCACTGCTGCTGGGGCGAGGGATGTCCCATGCACGACCTGTATTGCCATGCCACTTGTCCAACTTCTCGTTGCACACCCCTACTCCTTTTCACCCACCTGTTCCTCCCTCCATCTGTCCGCTTGCCCAACTGCCCTGCTGTGGTGTGTGTGCCAATCGCCCCGGCCAGCATCGGCTGTCCGGATGCAGTGGGGCTGCGCCATGCGCTCTCCATGGCGGCAGACATCGCCCTCGTCAACCCCCTCGCCCTCGCCACCTCCATCTGTCAGCCCCCCCTCGCCCACACCACACCCACACTCTTTCTCTCTGCTGCTTGCCTTCAACCATTTCATTTTACCACAAGCCGTAAACGCCACTTTGTTTGGTGCCCCATCGTGTTTCTGGTGCCCCATCGTGTTTCTGGTGCCCAGCCATGCGCTTGTTGTTTAATCTGCCCTCACTCACACCTGCACTCTCCTGTCCGCCTCTCCCTTGGCTGCCTCCGCCCTGCGCCCGGCATGCATCCCTTCCCTGTGGGGCCACACCACACCGCAGCGCGCCTGGCGGGGGGTTCACTGGCGGCGGCCATCAGGGCGCCGGACATGTTTGCTCGGGTCTACCTTGCACGCCTCTGTGCTACCCTCGTGCACGCCTCCCAGATCTACGGTGCGCGCCACTCCACCGCCCCTCTACTCCACCGCCTCTCTACTCACCTGCTGCTTCATGTGCAACTGTGTGCTATTGTGCTGCTCCCCTTCGTGCCTTCTTGTCATGTTGTGTCATCTTGCTGGAAGACGACTTTAGCTGCTGTCTGTACACGTCATTCCAGCATTCTCACATTGGACATTTCAATGACGCTGAGCATGCATGGGGCCCTGTGTGTGCGGGCATGAGGCGTGTGGGTGTGGGCATGGGGGGGCATGGCCTGGCACGGGGGGGCATGGCATGGCATGGGCGGGTGCAGACCGAGCTGACTTCCGAGGGCTGTTCTCGGCCTTCCTCTTCCAGCTGCTCTACGATGCCAATGTGCGCGTGTGCCTCGAGGCCATCTGCTGCATCACCGCCGCCTTCTCCGCCAAAGTCGAACCCACGTGCGCCCCCCTCTGCCCATCGCCTCACCTCATTTCTGCCCGCACTGCCACAAACAAGGCCGTATTGTTTCTGTTCTTCCGTTCTGATTTGATGAAACCCGTGTCAGAATTTAGGCTTAGAACTGATACATTAGTAGTGAGCTAGAAGCTCTTTAAGTACATCCAAGGAGGGCAAGGAATGGATGGGGAAGGAAATCGGGGGCAATCCCTAGGGATTGGGGGTAATCCCATGGCAATCTCCAATTGGTGGGTTGGAGATTGCTTGGAGATTACATTTGGGTTTGGTTGGGATGTAGGTGTACACCCAACCAAACACAAATTGTAAACTACACTACTCTAGGATATAAATATATAAAGTACAAAGTGTGAGATTGATGGCTAACACTAACACCCCCCCATAGGCGTCAATCGAACTCAGGGCAGAAAAGGTGGAGCACAGAGCCCCATAGCGCCAAGGAGACAGTGGTGAGGAACTTTCCCAAGGGGCTTGGTGAACAGATCAGCCAGGTTGCAGTCAGATGCAATGTACTCCACGTTCAGCTGCTCCCGCTAGACAAGGTCACGGATGAAGAAGTGCCGAAGTTCGATGTGCTTGGTGCGAGTATGATACACAGGGTCTTGGGAGAGGTGGATTGTACTCTGGTTGTCACACCAGAGGGTGGGGGTGGACTGAGGGAAGCCAAGCTCGTGGAGTAGGAAGGTGAGCCAACGGGCCTCCTGGGCAGCCATGGTGCCAGCGTAGAGCTCTGCCTCACAGGAGGAGAGGGAGACTGCTGACGACCTGGTGGAGCGCCAGCTGACAATTCCGCTCCCAAGGGTGAAGCAGTACCCCTGAGAGGAGCGTCGGTCGGTCTGGTCATCGGCCCAAGAGGAGTCAATGTAAGCTTCCAGCCGAGGAGAGGAGAGCCCACCAAGTGTGAGAACATGAGACTTGGTGCCCTGGAGATAGCGCAGTACCCGCTTTGCCGCCTTCCAGTGAAGTTCAGTGAAGCGTCCAGGGGCCACGTAGCGAGAGAGGACACTGACAGGATAGGTGCCAAGTCCGGTCGGGTGCACATCATGGCGTACATGAGGGACCCAACAAGCTCCGGGTATGGCTCAGAGCAGGCCTCTGGTGTGGGTACAGCTGGGGCGGTGAGGAGGTGTTGCAGCGGCAGTGGGGTGGCAACTGGGGTGCACAGCTCCATCTCAAACCGCTTGAGCACATTGTTGATGTAGAACTCCTGGGAGAGTGAAATGGTGCGAGCCTTGCGATCGCGTGTGATCTCCATCCCCAGGTAGTGCTTAAGGTCGCCGAGGTCTTTCATCTGGAGGGCCTTGCTCAGGGCCGTCTGGACAGAGGTCATCTGTGCCGAGTCCTTGGCAACGAGGATGAAGTCATCGACGTAGACCAGGATGTAGAATGGCTCAGAATGACGGCGGATGAAGAGAGTCGGGTCAGCAGATGATGGGTGGAAGTCCAAGGAGAGAAGGACTTCTTTCACCTTGTTGTGCCATTCGCGAGGGGCTTGCTTAAGGCCGTAGACGGGGCGATTCAGCTTCCAGACAGTGTTGGGAGGGAATTCTCCTGGGAAGCCTTCTGGTCTGTCCATGAACACTGTCTCCTTGAGGTGTCCTTGTAGGAAGGCTGATGAGGCGTCCATGGATTTGATTTCAAAGTCTTCTCGTGCTGCGACATCCATGAGCGTGCGAATGGTGGGAGGTTTGGATGTGGGGGAGAAGGTCTTGAAGAAGTCGTGGTACTGCTGTTGGGTGAAACCCTTGGCAACGTAACGTGCTTTGAACACCGGGGCCTCGTCAGGGAGCTGTTTCACACGAAACAACCACTTGCCCCCGACGATGTTGACTCCTGGAGGTGGAGTCTCGTCGTCGAAGGAGTGGTTGCGGGTGAACGCTTCAATCTCAGCTTCCATGGCGGCACGCCATTCGGCTGCATGGGGACCGAGAGAGCCTCTTGGACGGTGAGAGGGATAGGGATGGTCGGGTTCTCCGCGAAGTTGAGGGAGGGTGATTCAGTGATGCCGGGGAAGATGTGCGAGAGCTGAGGAATGACTGCGTGAAGATCACAGAGCTCCTCATGCCTGTCTTCCAGAAGGGTAGAGGGCACATCCCCCCCAGCAGGAGGAGTCGGAGTGATCGCTGTGCAGCGGATAAGCAGGGCTAGTGGAAGGGCAGCGCCGTGCGAGCGAGTGCCATGAGCCACCGGAGAGGAGGGTGGGGCAGGTGGTGTTGGAGGGGTCGATTTAGGAGACCTAGGTGGGAGAATTGGTCGCCGCTGGTACGTGATCAGTGTGGGCAACTTTGGTGGAGCGGTTTCCTGGGTGGAAGAGGGGACTGGTGGAGGAGGTGGGGCCGGAGGGTTCGACCGCCGATGGTATGTGATGGGTGCGCTAGGAGGGAGCGACGCAACTGGTAGAGGGGGAGGTGAGGGGGATAGAGGAGTGGCTGCCAAAGACACCGGTGAGGTCGGGTCAGAGACCTCAGAGGGGGATGGTGCGATGGCAGGAGAGGTAGGAGTTGAGGGAGCCGGTGCAGGCGGGAGTTCGGGAGGTGCGTCAAAGTCTGCCCAGACGAGAGAGGGCGGATCAGAGGGAGGGTCCTGACCCGAGGTGGAGTAGAATGGGCGGGTCTCATCAAAGACCACGTCGCGGCTCCGAATTAGTTGTTGAATAGAGTGGTTGAGGAAGAGGTAGTCAGGGGAGTCGGCATTGTGCCCAAGGTAGACGCACGTTTGAGTCTTGGGGCCGAGTTTGCCACCGTGGTGCCGCCTAGCCTGAGGGTTGAGGAGGACATAGGCGGTGCACCCCCAGACGCGAAGAGAGCGAGCAGTGGGTGTTTTCCCGAGCCAAAGTGTGGTAGGAGTGGTGTCAGGAAGATGCGGATGGGGGTAAAGATTGTAGAGGAGGGCAGCATGGTAGAGGGCGTATCCCCAGAGAGAGAGTGGGGCATTGGAGTGGCTGAGGAGGCACCGAGTGATTTGCACCAGGGTGTGGTTGCGGCTTTCTGCTATGCCGTTCTGCTGCGGGCTGTCAGGAAGGGTGAAGTTTTGCTGGATGCCTTCTGAGGAGCAGAAGGCTTTGAGCTTGTCGTTGCAAAATTCACCCCCCCCATCCGAGTGAAGGCGCTTGACCTTGCGGTCAAAGGTGGTCTGTGCCTGCTTGACCCACGCCATGATGACATCAGGAGCCTCGGCCTTAGAGTGAAGGAGGTGAACAGAGACGTAGCGGGAGTGGTCATCCACGATAACAAGAAATAGCGATAGCCACCTCGTGCGAGAACAGGGGCAGGGCCCCAGACGTCCATGTGCACTAGGTCCAATGGAGCTGCTGCAACTGTGGGTGAGGCAGGATGGGGCTGTTGGCGCAGTTTGCTCTTGGTGCAATCAAGGCACGTGGGAGCGGGTGAGTCAGGTGGTGGAAGTTTCTTGGAGGCCATGTCAGCAAGCGTGCGGAAGTTTGGGTGCCCTAGCCGATGGTGGTAGAGGATGGTCGGGTTGGAGAGGGTGCGACATGAGCACGGTGTGGTGGTAGCCTGTGCTTGGGTGGTTGAAACCTGAGGTAGAGGTATGCGTAGCGTGTAGAGGCCGCTGCCGTTGAGGGTGAAGCGGGCCAGGACCTTGTTGGTGAGTGGATCTATGATGTCGCAATGGTCCTCATTTTCCGAGAAGATAGTGCGTAGCCCCGCTTCCTGAATTTCCGTTTGAGCCACTAGGTTGTGGCGTAGTGAAGGCACGCACATGCCAGTGACAGTGCCGGATGGGAAGGCGGGGCATGGGACTGTGGAGGTACCCTTGGCGAGGGTGGTGAAGCTTGAGTCAGCTCCCAGGAGGGGGATAGGTGTTGGGTAGGGTTTGAAGGAGAGTGTCTCCTTGAGCACAGTGTGAGTGGCCCCGCTGTCGAGTGTGAACTCTATGTATTGTGGTGCCTGTGATGAGCCGATGTACTGGGAGGTAGCTTCATTAATCATGGCAGTGCCAGGGAACAACAGGTTGATACGCACATCAGCAGGAGCACTATCACTAGCACTAGCCGAAGCGGGGTCCTGGACCTCAACTAGGTTGGCCTTACGAGGGCGCATCCAGTTTGGCGGCTTCTTGTCAACTCCGTGGATGACATACCACTCGTCGTCTTTCTTCTTGAAGCACGTAGCAAGGGGGTGGTTAGTGCCACCACACACTTGTCCCTTGCGGTTGCCATACTTGACGACGTAGGGGCACGGAGGAAAGCGGTTGCGCTGGAAGGGCGCCGAGGCAAGGGCCGCTGCGACACTTGCTGGGGGCATGGGAGCGCGGATGGCGTACGCCTTGGCCTGAGCCGTGGAGTCTTTCTCGACAGAGAAGAGTGCGGTGGAGACCTTAACAAAAGTGAGGTCTTCCGCTGAGAGCGTGAGGAGCATCTTCCTCGTGACTTCATATGCCGAGGTGAGACCAACAAGAAGGGCGGCTGCAGGGGCTTGTTTGGGGAAGACTATACCCAGCTCCTTGAGTTCGCCATGAATGGTCTGCACCTTGGCAATGTAGTCGGCCATTCTTGAGCAGTCCTCAAGGCGGACCTGAAACATGCTGCGGATGAGAATCGCCACTCCGACCGCCGTCTTGTTCATGAACCGATCCTGAAGATACTTCCAGACGGCGTTGGAGGTAGGGTAGTTGTGGAACGTGTTGACAAGTTCGGGAGGGGTGGAGGCGATGAAGACGCTGATGATGGCAGCATCGGCCTTCTCCCATTTCCGGTACTTCTCAACAGCTTCCTCGTACGCCCTCACGTCAGTATCACTTGCGGATTCGGTCGGCTCCCGGGGGAGAGTAGGCTGCTTCCCCTTGCCACGGTTGAGGAGGACGTCCTTGAGGTCAAGGCCCTGCACGTCACGACTCAGAAGGTGCTTGTCAACTCCGTAGCTCCATGCCTTGAAGTTGGAGCTGGAGCCATCGGCTTCAAGGCGGAGCGGGGTGATGGGGTTGGCCATGGTGGAAGAGGAGAGAGCCATGATGAAGACCCCTTAACTTCTCGCGCGGAGCGCCGCTCTTAAGTCACCGATAGTCACTTCGAGCGGCGCGGAGCGTGGCGATTTCGAAATCCGACGGACCCGAAAGGTAAAAATCGTCAATGTCGGCCGCGTCGAATTGCCTTGCAGAAGGAATTTTTAGGCCGTCGAGATTAGGTCGAATCGGCCGATTTTGGTAGAGCTAACCCCAATCCCACACACCCCCCCACACACCGCCCGCAGCTTCACGGCTACGCTGCTGCTCGGCTTCACGGCTACACGGCTGCTCGGCTTCGCGGCTACGCTGCTGCTCGGCTGCGCTGCTGCACCTGTTCAGCTGCGGGAAAAGGGGGGGATGGGGGTAGAAGTGCAGATGCGTGGCGACGGGCGGCAGCCCGAAGATGACGCTGCGGGGCAACGGGCGGCGGCCCGACGAGAAGCTGCAGGGCGACGGGCGGCGGCCCGACGAGGAGAAGAAGGGCGACGAAACCATTCGACGAAAACGAGCGTGCTTGACGAAAACGAGCGATAGGTTATAGCGCCGACGATGCGCTTACCAGAAAGATTGTTGACGTCGTCGAAATTGACGGGAACGTGGTGCGGGAAGATTTCCGCCTACGAGCGTCGCGAATCACCGGCGACGAGATTGACGATGGCTACACCGAGGTTTGCAGGACGAGCATCCGCGAAGATAGGAGGATCATGATCCGCGTATGCGGTTGAAGTGCTCTGATACCATGTCAGAACTTAGGCTTAGAACTGATACATTAGTAGTGAGCTAGAAGCTCTTTAAGTACATCCAAGAAGGGCAAGGAATGGATGGGGAAGGAAATCGGGGGCAATCCCTAGGGATTGGGGGTAATCCCATGGCAATCTCCAATTGGTGGGTTGGAGATTGCTTGGAGATTACATTTGGGTTTGGTTGGGATGTAGGTGTACACCCAACCAAACACAAAGTGCAAACTACACTACTCTAGGATATAAATATATAAAGTACAAAGTGTGAGATTGATGGCTAACACTAACAACCCGCCCACTGACTGCTTCTCATCGCGTCCTCCTCACTGCCCGCCTCTTCCCCTGCCCCCCTGCCTCCCCTCACCGCCTGCAGCACGGCGCAGCGGGCGGATGGGTGGCAGATTCTGACCACCTCGCTCATGGACACGCGGGGGGCCGCCAGGGACCTGGCGGGCGGCAAGGCCGGGGGCTCCAAGGAGAAGGAGGCCATGCCTCTGCCGCCCTCCTACGACCTCGTGCTCAAGGTGCTGCACTCACCGTGTCGTGTACAGCTCAAGTTGCCCAATTTCTTCAAGTTCACCATTCAAGCATCCATTTGTACATTTCCTTTTCCCATCCCCGCTCTCCCCCTTAACCAAGTGGTGGTACACTGAGTCGACGAAGCACTACACCGCACGGTTGAGTCGATCCAATACTCGCTCCTTCACTCCCCACCCATCCCTCTCCCCACCCTTTTCCCCAACCCCCAACTCTTCCCCCAACTCACCCCCCTATCCCCCTCCCCAGGTGGTGGCGCACCGGGTGGACTATGCGCTGCGCAGCACATCACGGCCCATGCTGCACGCGGCGCTGAGGGCCGTTGCGGAGATAGGCAAGGCGCGTGCGGCAGCACTCTCGCTGGGGCTCTTCACAGAGGCGCCAACCCTGCCGCAGGACGACGCGTCTGACTTCCAGCAGGGTTTGTGCGCCGCCCTCTCCGTGCCCTCTCTCTCGCCCCTTTTGCTCGTTGCTGCTCTACCTTCACTCGTTACACTTGGATTCTGTGTATTTTACTTTTGAGAATTCTCAAAAGTAAAATTCACGGATTTTGTGTGGTGGGTGAGGTGTGTGTCCTTGTGTGTGCGAGTGCTGACAAGTGTGAAGTGTGTGTGTGTGTGTGTGTGTGTGTGTGTGTGTGTGTGTGTGTGTGTGTGTGTGTGTGTGTGTGTGTGTGTGTGTGTGTGTGTGTGTGTGTGTGTGTGTGTGTGTGTGTGTGTGTGTGCATGTGTGTTCACAGCGATGGGCAAGCAGCAAGCCCCCAGGGAGAAGGTGACGGTGGACTCGCTGCTGGCAGCCCTCATGGAGGCCGTGCGCTGCACCGTCGCCTGCGAGTGCGTCTACGTGCGCGCCCAGGCAAGTCCACTCCACTGCACTGCGCGCCCAGGCAAGTCCACTCTACTGCGCGCCCAGGCAAGTCTACGTGTCTACGTTCGCACTCAAGCAAGTCAACATGCGTGTTTTGGCCTTTCTTTGAGACAAGTTATGAAAGCGATTTCTTGATTCCACTTTGTGCTGGTATGAACATGTGGGTGCGGGGCGGGGTGGCAGGCGATCAAGGCGATGATATGGATGCAGAGTGAGTACGAGTCGAGCTCGGAGCTCAAGGCCACGCTGCTGGGCGAGCTGGACGACCCCGCCTGGCCCGCCGCCCTCCTCAACGACCTCCTGCTCACCCTGCACGCGCGCTTCAAGGTAACTCCTGCTCACCCTGCACGCGCGCTTCAAGGTAACTTTATGTCCCTGCACACGCTCTTCAAGGTAACTCCCTGCACACGCGCTTCAAGGTAACTCCCTGCACGCGCGCTTCAAGTCGTCTCCCCTTCCCTGGCTTCCATGCATGCATGTATCTATGCCCCAGGCCCTATGCCTCACTGCCCCAGCTAGCCTCATGACGCAATTCCCGTCTCTCTCGCCATTCCTCAATGCCCCAATGCCTGCCCCTACGTGTGCCTGGCAGGCCACGCCAGACATGGCCGTCACCATTCTGGACCTCGCCAGCCTCTTCGTCACAAGGGTGCCCTCCAAAGTCGACACCACCACCCTGCAGGCGCTTTGGAAGGTGCCCCCCCTGGCTCCATCCCTCACTCCCTCTCCCCACTCTCTCCACACTCTCTCTCCCCACTCTCTCTCCCCACTCTCTCTCCCCACTCTCTCTCCCCACTCTCTCTCCCCACTCTCTCTCCCCACTCTCTCTCCGCGCTTTCTCTCTCTCTCCTCTCCCTTCACAGTCTCTCTCACCGCTCTCTCTTCCTTCTTCACGCTAACTCCTCGTTCTTGCATCCTCCTGTTTCCCTTCTCGTCTGTTCTGACATCTCTGCGCACCTCGCCATGCACCTCGCCATGCACCTCGCCATGCACCTCGCCATGCACCTCGCCATGCACCTCGCCATGCACCTCCCACTGCGTGCTCCCCTCCACCCCTGCCGGACGTTCACTCAGAGTCCACCAGTCTATTATTGATGAGAATCGTTCTCCCTCGCACCCTGCCGCCTCCCCCGTGCACCCCACCCCATGTATGTCTGCCCGCCCCCCCCCTCCTTAGACGTGTCTGGTGGGGTGTGGTCCGCAGGGCAAGCATCTGGCGTTGGAGGCCGTCAGCACGGTGCTCGACCTGCCTCCCCCGCCGCCGCCCCAACTGCCCTCCTCTCACGGCGCTGCTGCTGTCAGCGCGGCGCCCATCTCACACCCGCGCTCCGCCATCGCCCTGCAGCGCATCACCCATGCCGCTGTACGCCTCCCCAACGCTGCTTCCCCTCACCTGCTGCTTCCGCTCGATTCGCTCTCTTTCTCCCCATCTCTTCGCTCCATATCTTTCTGCTGTACGTGCCCCGTCTCTTGCCCGTTCTATGTTTCCCCACGCTGGCCCCACTGCCCCTTTCTCTCCTCTGTGCCTGCCACTTTCACACGTGCAAAGCAACGAGCCGGGTTTTACTCGGCTCCTCCCTGGGCACACTCGTACGAGCCGAGTTTAGCTCGTCCGAGTTTATTCAGGGGTACCTCAAGCTCGTGACTCGTCTCTTGTCACGAGATTAGCTCGGCTCGTTGCCCTAAACCAGCATGCACATGCCTAATTTTGTAAACCTGCTGCCTAATAAGATAGTCTGCAAAAATCTAATATATATATACCCATATCCAGACTATGTCTTTCGCCCTGGAGAGCGTCAATTCTGGGTGGGGGATTGCAAAACCAGCCGAACGCAATGAGTGCTCGGCGAGTTTTAAAATCTCGCCGCGCAAAACTCGCCTCGGCTCGGACGAGTGATTTTCACGGAAAATGAAACTCGCCACTCGGCCTCGAACGAGTGCCTCGTACGACCCGAGGCGAAAAGCTCACCCCGTTGCACATGTATACTGCCACCTGCCACCTCAATGCTCTTCCCACATTGCACTACCCTCCGCTTTAAAGACTCCTTCAACGCACTCCGCAATCCCACCTTTCCCACCACTTCACAACCCCTGCCTTACCTCTCCTATCTGCCGTCTCGTCCTGCCCGTCCCCTTCCCCCTCCGCCCATCTCCCCCTGCAGATCTGGTTTTTGGGGGAGAACGCCAACTATGCTGCAGGCGAGTACGCGTGGGAGAGTGCCACACCGCCCGGGGCGGCGCTGATGCTGCTGGACGCCGAGAGCATGGTGGCGGCGGCCGGCGTGCGCAACCCCACGCTCGCCCAGGCGATGCAGCGCCTGCAGCGCACGGCCACCACCGGTGCATGGGAGGTCAGCTGGGGGGGTGGTGGGTGAGGAGAAGGGGAGGGTGGGGAGGAGAGGCAGCTGGAGGGGAATGCAAAGGGAAGGTTGCCTAAGAGAGAACGGAGGGTTTATCGTTGGTGTGAGGCCAGTCATTTGCAATGGCAGCAGTTCGAGGAGCGATGCTGAATTAAACCCTTACTCTCACGAGCCTTTTAATTTTCATCTCTCGCTCCACTGTGTTCTACAGCCTTTTTCACCACTTTTTTCTCCTCCCCCCACCCCCCCTTCCCCTGAACTTTTCCTTTCTCATATAACATTCTCCCCTCTCACCGTCCTCCCCTCTCTGCGCACATGGAGGGCATGACAGGACCGGGTGGTGGCGGTGTATGCGCTGATGACGGTGGCGCTGCGGAGCGGCGAGCCGTACCGCCTGCAGATCTACGAGTTCTTCCACGCCCTCTTCTACGGCGGTGGCTCCTCCCGCAAGGCAACGCAACTCCAACGCCCCCCGCCCCGCGCACTCTCGCTTCGCTGACTCCTTTCCTCTCCCTTCCCCCTCTCTTCATTACTTAGCCTAGCTCACTTTCCTAGCCTGGCGTTTTGAAAACCTGACCTCAGGGGCATTGATGCATGGCATGGCATGGAATGGCATGGCATGGCATGGCATGGCAGGTGCGGGGCATGGCGCTGGGAGTGTCGAACGGCGAGGACAGGGGCGCCAGTGGCACGGGGCTGGGGAGCATCATTGCACCGATGCTGCGAGTGCTGGACGAGATGTACCGCTGCCAAGACGTCATGATGCGGTGAGTGGGATGTCATCATGCGATGAGTGAAATGCCATATGTTTTGAGTGGGTGGTCCGTCAAAAGAGAGAATACCTTGAGCAGGGCAGTGACCTTTGGTCTCTCCATCTCGCCTCTAACCTCTCCACCTCGCTCTCCTCCCCATGCGTTCCTCCCCATCCCCTGCTTGGCTGTGCGCCGGTCCCTTGCCCTGCCCCCACAGGGACATTCGGCTGCACGAGTTCAGTGGGGAGGAGTGGCAGGAGGAGCAGCTGGAGCGCATATACGACATGCACGAGCGCCTCATGGACCTCGCGCTGCTCTTCTGCTTCGTGCCGCGCCATAAGTACCTCCCCCTCGGCCCCATGAGGCAAGTACCTCCCCCTCGGCCCCATGAGGCAAGTACCTCCTCCTTGGTCTCCCATGAGGCAAGCTCCTTTTTTTAACCGCAACAATCATTTTTTTTTTCACTGCATTTATTGTTTTGGTCACGATTGGTAGTTTGAACGAACGACACTATGCCAGCAACTATAGTCCTTGAGAATGACTCATAGCCTCTACAAACCCAAAGAGCGAAGGGTCAAAAAGGTGGAACAGGAGCACACAATCTCCAATCGCAAAGGGTCTCGAAACTACCCACCGGCATGCACGAAGAGAAACTGTATACCACACAATGAAATGTAACTATTGTCATTATCTTGATGTTTACCCATTTGGCAAGCTCGGGAATCACTTGAACCTTGAAACCAAGTTTTGATTTTGCACTATTAATTCTTTCTTGAGTTCTTGGCAACTTGCTCCTACGAGTCGCCGAATGTGCGACACACGAAAAAATGGAAAACGCACACTACACACAAACAACGACATGACACGCGACTAGTGAAACCTCGTTCTAGACTCAACACGCTTGTTCGACATTAGGCTTGAGCAGGAGGACGAACACCTGTTCGGGTTCGAGGCGAACCGAACAGTTCCTTTTCTTTGGCCACAAGTGTTCGGGTCGAACACGCTTGTGTTCGCCCGAACATGTTCGTGTTCGTTATCCAGCAGCAACGAACACAAATATGTTGGTCGCGAATGTTTTGTGATCGAAGGCACCAAGGGACATTTCTGCCGTCAGATCTGCGCGGATATGACATTTCGCCGTCAGATGTGTGCGGACATGTCATTTCGCGGTCAGATCTAATGGCAGGAGGGTGGGGGGAAGGAGCGGGTGCCACGATTTGTGTTTTACTAGAAATTGATGTCAACGTAAACCCGTGTAATTTGCACATGGTAATGCTGTGAGACTAGAACGAAATGAGCCTAAAAAATGAACACGTGTTTGTGTTCAGGACAAACACCTTGGGTGTTCGCCTGTAAAGGTGAAAACCAAACAACCCTATCGTTGGAGGTGTTTGGCCAAACACGAACATGTTCGGTTCGTCGAACATGAGTATTTGAAATCGGGAGAACACGAACATGTTCGTGTCTGACGCCGGGTGAACACGAACACGCCCGTTGCTCAACCACGTTCGACATTATGACTCATCATTCACCCATTCATATAAACATGAAATACATTATATTATGCACTCGTACCATTCTATGCAAGCACACATGCACGCACAAGAACAACAAGCCGAATGTAATCGATACGGTTTCACCAACATCTGTGGTCTTTTGGTTCATCCGTGTGTCCCACAATTCCCACCTATCTCTCCTTTGGCAGTGCGCGGCTAGTAGCGCAGTACCGGGCGCGGCGGGGCATGGAGGCGGGGGTGGGGCGCAGTGAGGCGGAGCTGAGGGCCACGCTAGAGGGGCTGCTGCGCCACACCGGCTCCGCCCCCAAGGACGCCGCCGTCTTCCCCCCACTCACCCTCCTGCAACCCCTCCCCGACTTCCCCACTGCCGGCGCCCTCAAGGTGGGTGCTGCTGGGGAGAGGGCAGAGGCAGGAGATGCTGGTTCCAAAGGCGAAGGGCAGTGTACTGGTTGAGTGGAGTATATGGCGTGTGCTCACTGCTTCCCACTCGTTGCCTCCTCTTGTTCTCACTTGCCGCCCAGGTGATGGACATGCTTCCAAAGGAGGACAGTGTGGTGGGTCAATGGAGTGTCTCACTGCTTTTCACCCGTTTCTCGTGTTCTCCTGCCTCCTGTTCTCACTACCTGCCAGGTGACAGACATGCTGGGCGGCGGTGGAGACGAGAGCGTGTCGGTGCCGGCAACGCCGCGGCGGTACGAGGGCATGGCGAGTGCGTTTGATGCGGTGGCGGGCGACACGGGCATGGGCAGCACCTTTGATGACGTGTACGCCTCGTCGCTACTCGAGGCCGACGACGATGCCGAGGTGCCCTGCCCTCATGCATGCTCTCATGCATGCTCTCATGCATGCCCTCATGCATGCCCTCATGCATGCCCTCATGCATGCCCTCATGCATGCCCTCATGCATGCCCTCATGCATGCTCTCATGCATGCCCTCATGCATGCCCTCATGCATGCCCTCATGCATGCCCTCATGCATGCCCTCATGCATGCCCTCATGCATGCCCTCATGCATGCCCTCATGCATGCCCTCATGCATGCCCTCATGCATGCCCTCATGCATGCCCTCACGCATGCCCTCATGCATGCCCTCACGCATGCCCTCATGCGTGCCCTCATGCGTGCCCTCATGCGTGCCCTCATGCATGCCCTCACACCCCTTCCGTTCCTTCATGCATGCTTTGCTCTCATTGCATGGTAATGCTCTAATTTACTTTCTGCATCATCCTTTACTTCCCCTCTCCCAACTCTGTCTTCCTCCATCTCCCCTACCAAAGCCCCAACCAACCCCCCCCCTTCTCTATCCTCCTCCCCCCCTTTTTTCTTCCACTATGGTATCAGAGCGGGGTGTCACACCCCCCCACACCCCCTTCCTCCCCTCCCCCCCTTCAACTCTGTCTTCCTCCCTGTCCCCTACCCCCCTGCCTTCCACCATGGTATCAGAGCGAGGTGTCGGACGGCTCGGCATCGCCGACAGCGTCCACCACAGCGGAGGCGTTTGGCAACATCCGCAACTGGGTGCGCCCGCACGCCCCTCTCTCCCACCACCTTCTCCCTCTTCCTTCCCTTTCCTCTTTCTTTTCTGCTGCCATCGCATCTTTATTTCTGCTTTTTCGTTGCCACTGCTGCCTCTCTCTTTCTGCTGCCTCTCTCTTTCTGCCGCCACGCGATCTCTGCTGCCTGTCTACGCAGTGTCCATTTCTGCTCCGATGTTCGTACCTTACTATCTGTGCTGTGCTTGCAACGCTGCCATGGCTGCGTGTCCTGTGCTGTGCTGCCTCAATGACAGCGCGGATTGTGTTTGTGTGTTTTCACCCGCATGCACCGTGTGCTCGCCTCTGGACTGCATGTCCTGTGCCACCACTGTCTCTGCACGGCCAGGACGAGGAGAGCCTGTCAGGCGACAAGGGGGCAAGCGAAGCATCAGCAGGGCAGTCGGTATGCGCGCGCACTTGTGCCAATCATTGTTTCTCATGCGTGCATGTGCACTCTTTCGGTCCTCCCATGTTCAAACTTCAACCATTGCGTCTCCATTCTCATTGCTCTGCACACAATCACAACACACATGTTTGCGCGCCTGCCCACATGCACGTAAACACTCACCCATTCATGACCGCCTCCCACATACCTCTGCACCTGGCACTCATCTGGCCCCCCACCCACCCCCCCGCCCTGCCCGCCATTCCCCCTGCCATCTCTGTGTGCACCACGGTGGCACGGGCAGGCGGGGCGAGGGAGGGGGGGCGAGGAGGAGGAGGACGAGGGGTACGACTACGAGGCGGAGCTGCGCAGGCGGGCGGGCGACAGCGGCGCCAAGCAGCGAGGCCGCGCGCTCTACGCCTTCATTGCAGGCGATGAGGACGAGGTGAGGGGGGGGAGGGGAGGGGGAAGGGGTGATTGCGTGTGTCTCTGCGCGTGCCTGCGCAACCCATCCATTCACTGTTCCGTGGCAATCACTGCTCTGTCCTCACCGGCCCCTCTTCCCCTGTCCCCACCCACCCCCTCGCAGCTGTCACTGAGCGTGGGAGAGGAGGTGGAGATAGAGTACGAGGCGGACGGGTGGTACCATGCCAGGAAGGTCAACCCCGCTGATGGCAAGCAGGCCGGCTTCGTGCCCGTGCTCTACCTTGACACGCGCTGATGCCCGTGCTCTACCTTGACACGCGCTGATGCCCGTGCTCTACCTCGACACGCGCTGATGCCCGTGCTCTACCTCGACACGCGCTGATGCCCGTGCTCTAACCAAGTTACCGTAATGGGTCGAACACATGTGCCATGAAGTGTTCGTACAAATATGTATACATAACGAGCAATTCTCAACCCAATGTGTGTTGCACCCCACACACTGCACTACACATTACCTGCCACATTAGAAGGCACCAATTGATTCCTCTTATACCACTCTTTCATGAACCCTACACAAACCATCTCTTATTTTGTAATAAAAAATTGCACGATGTAGAATGGTTAGGAGATAGGAGTTTAGGCTAGGGATGACGAGAGGAATGATGAGTTAGGTGAGGTGAGGGAGTACAATGAAAATGTCAAGAAAAAGTTTGTACCCCCTAAGGCTAACCCATGCGGAGATTCACTATACAACGGTAGTGAGCTAGACTACGGGGGTTGGCACGAACTACTACTAGTGGTCGTAGCTTTGCTTGGTTCCTTAGCACTTGCGCATTCACGGGAGAGATTGGCAAGAGTTTCCACTAGCAAAGATTGAGAATACAGAATGATTGAACAAGCAATGACAACAATGACTACATCAGGCACCTAGCAACCCTGCAGCTAGCCTGGTCGACCGCCAGCACAGCTCGGTCGACCGCCTGCCAGCGTTGCGTAGAGGAGCCGCGCCAGCACTGCAGAAGGGCGACCTGCCAACACTGCAGGTCGACGGCGTGCCAACGCTGCAGCAGAGCGGCTGTCCAGCGTTGCCCCGTAGAAGACAGCAGTGCGCACGCTCGCAGGTGCGCGCAGACGATTGGCCCGACTTGCCTTGTTGGGCATCCGTCGGCTGTTGTCTGCGCCTGACAAGCCACATCGACTTCGGGATACCAGCCCGAAGTCGCCTTCGCCATCGCGATCTCGACGACGTTCGCGTGCCTCCGCAGAACTCGTCGAGCAGGTTGCTTGGTCGACCTGGTCGACCCCCAGATGCCCTGGTCGACCCCCAGGGGCCTCTGGTCGACCACTGGGTCCCTCTGGTCGACCACCAGGTGCCTCTGGTCGACCACAATTCCCGTCGAGCTACCCCCTGGTCGACGGACCCCTTCCGTCGACCAGAACTGCTCCGGGGACCGCCTGGTCGAACTGCAGGTCGACGGGACGCTCCGGAGACCTCCCGGTCGAGCTGCAGATCGAGAGGATGCCCCGCAGGCCTCCCGGTCGAGCTGCAGGTCGACGGGATGCTCCGCAGACCTCTCAGTCGAACTGCAGGTCGACGGGATGCTCCGTAAACATCCCCGTCGAACTGTAGGTCGACGGATTGCTCCATCGACCTCCCGGACGGCCCACCCGTCGCCCAGGCCAGTCAGTTGCAGCTGTCGAGCTCCCTGGTCGACAGCAACACCACAGCGGTCCCCTGCAGCTCGACGTAGCCTGTCGAGCAGCTCTCCCACTGTGAACGGTCGGCTGCTACTCCCGTACATCCGACCAAGTCGTCGGCGTTGCCCAAGCGAGGGCGGGGCCAACACTCCATTCCCGTTAACAACCCATACGTAGCCTAAGCACATGCATAGACATTTATGTTTTGACACAACCCCATAGGCAAAGTGGGGGATAGCCAGAGCAAGCAACAGTCACAAGACCAGTCAAGAGAAGAAGCAAAGCAAAGCTTAGGGTGGATCATAAAGTCACCACACAGTCCGAACACAAGCAAATAGCAACAAGGCCAGTTCTCATGCAAAAATATAAAGAACGCATAGATCACAGTACAAGGCAAAGTCAAGAGGTAAGCAGGTGAGATATAGTAAGTACAAGGTCTACAGCAGTGCAGAAACGCTGATGATTATTGTACCCTAGGGCCTTAGTGAGGATATCAGCAGTGTTGGCTTGTGAGGCCATGTAAGCAAGGCGAACCTGACCACCCTGCTGCAGCTCCCGTGATAGGAAGTAACGCACAGAGCAATGTGCTTCATTCTATGCTCCAATCTCTGCTCCCGACACAAGGCAATCATGGCCTTGTTGTTGACGTACAGGACCGGAGGAGAACAAGGCCGCTAACCCAAGTCTATCAGCGAGTAGGTCAGCGAGCGTGGTTCCTGTTGGTGCAACCTACGGTTTGCACTCGGTTTGTTGTCCGTGTGCGTGCATGCATGTGTGCATGGAGTGGTATGAGTGCATGAAATAAATATATATATTTCATGCTTATAATGGTGTGTGAATGATGGGTCATGATGTCGAGTATGTGTGTCGAGTCAATAGCGAGTTATCGCTAGCCGCGTGTTAATGCGGTCATTTGTGTCTCGCGCGCGGTTTCTATTTTGTCGTGTGTCCCGTGCGCGGTTTCTATTTTGTTGCTTGCCGAACGTTCGGCGTGTCGCAGGTGTGTGCAGCAGACTCATCAAGAACTCAAGGATGAGTTTTGTGATGAAGAACCCGAGCCTTGGTTGCAAGCTTCAAGTGATTTCGAAGCTCGCCAAAAGGCTACACCTCAAGATATTGAAGATAGTTACATTACAAAGTGTAGTGTAACATTTCAGTTGGTGTAGGCCCTTGTGGAGGGTATTTTCGAGACCCTTCTTGGTTGGGGACAGTATGGCACTGTTCCCCATCACTGTAGCTCGGTTCTTGGGGTTTGTAGGAGCTGGGAGTCCTTCCCAACTCGTAACTCTTCCTAGTTGTTCGTAATTGTGTTCTAAGACTAAGTTGCTGCCATAGTGCCGTTCGTTCAATCTGACGCTGTGTCGTCAATTCTTGATGAAATCGTGCGATCTAAATTGCATATTGTAGGCGACGTTAAGACGCTCCAGATTCAAGTTGAATGAGGTCAATTGGAGGTGTGAGCAGATCGCTATGATCGTTTAAAGCCGCTGTGCAGAAACCTGACTGCGCACTCTATCTTTGGCTCTAGGCACATTGAAGCCTATTGGAGCCTATTGTGACTATAACAAGTGGTATCAGAGCACCTTGGAGCAGCTACGACGATGGCTGGACCTGAAGAGAGGGGTGGCAGAGGTGCTGGAGGCAATGGAGAAGCCCAAGCACAAGGCCAAGCCCGTGATCCAACCATGGCGTCCGTGCAACCGACTCTTGGACCTTCTAAGGACGAACCAAGAGTGTTCGGGCTCGACAAGTTCAACGGTGACAACTTTGCTGAGTGGTCCTTCAGAATGGAGAATGTGTTTGACCACTATGACCTGCTGGAGGTGATGGAAGGAACGGAGAAGCGTCCCGAGAACGACCCGGAGAAGAGCTCGTGGGTGCGGAAGAGCGCACAAGGCTATCTCCTACTTGGGCAAGCGTTGGGGAGCACTCAAATCCGTCACATCAAGCCTTTCCAGCGTGAACCAGAGAAGGGACCAAAGGCATGGGCTGCTCTCAAGGGTGTACACGCTCCTGCAACAGCGGCGGTAGCTGTGGTGTTGGAACGGCAAATGGCAACGCTACGAATTGAGGAAGATGAACCCGTGGAAGACGGGGTGCAGAAATTCTTTGACTTGTTGACGCGGCTTGAGGGAGCTGATTTGAACTATAGTGAGCTCCAAAAGAAGACCAAGTTGCTGGCCCTACTCTCTGAGTCATCTGCCCCGTCTCTCGCTTGAAGACGTGAAGCGCGCGATCCTTCAAGAGGACTTCCGCCGCCGTGAGTTGGCGAGTGCGGATGGCGCTGGGGCAGCGAGCATCGGCCGTGGATATGGCCGAGGAAGAGGCAGAGGACGAGGGGGAGGAAGATCTGGTGGCAGCAACTTCGGCGGAGGCCGCGGAAGTGGCGGATACGGCAGCGACGACAAGAGCTATGGGCGCGGTCGCGGCCGATTCGACGGCGAGTGCCACTATTGCCACAAGAGCGGACACATGTGGCGCGATTGCTACAATCTCTATACCGGGGTCGTACTGCACACACAGGTAACAGTCACTCTCAGTATCACCAGGCAAAGGAGACATGGCAGTAAGGATGGCGTCATAGTCTAAAGCAAAGACATCAACGCCCGACCTAAGCAGCTCAAGCCAGTGGGGTGTCTCAGCCTCGTCGCCAAACTGTGCGTGCCAGGCGTCAGACAAATAGGCGAAGCAGCGGGACTGTGCGTGACCAGGTGTCCCACAGGTCTGACAATCTCGACGACCTGTGCGAATGACATACGAGCAGCGACCAGGATTCGGAGACGTCCCACGCTGGCAAAGCCACTCAGGAAGCTGCCGGGACGTAAGGGTCGGACGCCGCTCTAGCTCCATCTGGCCACCGCCAGAACCTCCCCACTGAACAGCTCCACAGCGACTGCTACTACGGCCGCCACCACTCCCACAACTGCCACTACCGCCGTCACCACTCCCACCGCTACTACGAAGTGAAGTCATAGCGGGTAAGCAACGAGGCGCGCGACTAGGAGGTCGGTACGGAGGGAAGACAGTAGCACGAGCACCAGCAGCAGCAGCAGTAAGAGGAGCAGAGACGCCCGGTGAGGCTAGGCTGCAGCACCTCCAGCACTCCTAGTAGCACCTCCACCGGTAGCAGCGGTAGCACGAACAGCAGGGCGGATCGGTTCGGCCCGGGGTGCGCGGGGAGCAGGGCGGGCGCTGTGCAGGGCAGCAGGGCGCGACACACGAGCTGCAGCAGGGCGCGACGCGCAGGGCAGCTGTGCGCGACGCGTGGGCTGCCGTAGGGCGCGACGCGCGGGGCAGCTGTGCGTGACGCACGGGCTGCCGTAGGGCGCGACGCGCGGGCTACCATAGGGCGCGACATGCAGGGCAGCAGCGCGCGACGCGCGGGCTGCCGTAGGGCGCGACGCTCGAGGCAGCAGCGCGCGACGCGCTGGCTGCAGTAGGGTGCGACGCGCAGGGCAGCAGCGCGGGCGTAGGGCAGGGCGCTGGCGCAGGGCAGGGCGCTGGCGCAGGGCAGGGCGCTGGCGCAGGGCAGGGCGCTGGCGCAGGGCAGGGCGCTGGCGCAGGGCAGGGCATGCGTGAAACAGCGCGACGCTGGGTAGTGGGGTAACGCGGTAACCGCAGTCGATCGCTAAGTATGGTGGGCCCGAGAAAAAAAAAAAAAGAACGGTCCTATGGACCTGCTGCTCTGAAACCATGTCAAGATAGCAAGCAGGAATGAATGAACTAGCAGCATGATGGGTACAAGTAGGAAACCCTAATTTGGGTTGTACCTCATATGGGCTACCCCACTACAGCCTACACACACAACAAGCGCCATATATGTTTGACATTACTAAGGGCGTGGAACATTTTTACGACCACGCCATTTGGTCGGAACGATTGTTGTTTCTGGCGATTGCGAAGAATTGAAGGAAACCCCATTGACTGGCATGGATAGTAGTTACCCTGAATTGACCCAAAATCATTCGGATCTCTCGTAAGTATTTAGAGCCTCTCCTCGCACTTATTTATAAAAAAGGGTACATTATTTGACTTCCAGTACTTACCCTCAATTGCGTTTGCCCCACATTCTACTCATTTCCCGCCCTCCCCAATATCCCACACCCCTTTCGAATGCTTAGTGGGGGTGTTTTCTATTGGGTGCCCCGCGTGCTGGCGAGCAGCATAGCTTAGAAATTTCGCACCCTTCGCAACTCTGTTACACCCTTCGCTTTCGCCTGATCCAACCAAATGGTCGATACGGGCGTATTCTTGGCTTCGGGTCATCACGAATTCATGTCATCCGAAATTTGCGGTATCCAATCGAAAAAATCAAATTTCTAACCGCGGTTTTTCCGATTGGCTACCTCAATTTTCGGATGACACAAACACCGGATGACCCGAAGCTAAAAATAGCCCTAAATCGGCGTGGTCTTAAAAATGTTCCACGCCCTAACTGTTAAGTAGCCTTCACGGGATAGGCCCTGAAGTAACAGCGGAGAAATCCATGGCGGCCTTGTCATTGTCATTCTCTAGGTCTACCTATTTTTGATCCCTGTATTCATTAGCTGTAGTTCCTAAACCATTAACCTTTTATTTGAGACACTGAAGTTACTGGTATCCTGTTTTTCCTAGCGCGTTCCTTGGTGTCGGATACCGGAATCTCAACCACTCGAACACCAGTTGCGACATGTGCGCATGAAGAGGACTCGTCAACCCACGCTATGCCAGCATTCGAGTCGAGGCATGGCGGCCGCGCGCTATAGTTAGTCTACTGGTCCATATGGCCTGGGGAATATGCGAGCAATCGGAGGAAGTGAAAAGGAGTAGGTGATGAGTTGGTTGCGAGGAGAGATGGTTGATGTGGACGCAGACACGGAGACGCACAACGGGAAGGGACGTGCGGCTCAAGTGTCGTTTCAGAAAAAGCGGATCAGCGCCGGAAAAACGAGCGTGCGACACATGGTGCCGTACTCGTGGCGCATAGCAGGTGTACTCCTGCTCCTCGCAGCGCTAGTGAGTCTTCGAACATCGGCAACTTTCCGTACTCGGCGGCTTCCCACCACCCTCGCGTCAACCAGCCATGTCGCCTTCCCCGCGGCACCCCGACCTTCCTCACGGCGCCACGCGCACCGCTTCCCCATTACTGCGTCGCATCTGCGTCGCGTCCGCTCTGTTCGCCCATCGGATTTCACAACCCTACCCTCCCTCTCTCACTCCCCTTTCTCTCTCGTCTAACCCAATCAGAGCCCGCCGCATGTCGCTACAATAGACGTGGAGAGCGGATTGGGAGGCGCGGAGGACCCGTGGGGGTGGGCGTATCGGGAGGAGGTGTGCGGCGCGTGGCACACCAACTACACCCATCTGCACCGCATCATCCGCTCCGCCGCGCGCCACCTCGTGCAGACGCGACAGGCTGAATCCGCTGGGGGCGACGGTGGTGCTGCCAGGGGAGGAGGGGCGGACGGGGGCGGGGTCGGGGGCTGGGAAGCGCAGGACAACGAGGAGGGAAGGGGGGGAGATGGCGGGGACGGGGAAGGCAGCGGGTCGGCGGCGAGAATGGCTGGCATGGTGCGGTTTGCGACGTACTCGTGTTCATCGCTGGCGCGGTGTGGCGGTGTGGGCGACGTGCTGCTGGGCGTGTTCTCCACGTTCCTCATCGCGCTGCTGCAGGACCGCGCCCTCGTGCTCACCCACCCACTGCTGCACCACGCCTTCCTCCCCGCCCACGTCAACTGGACGCTCGACAGCGACGTGCCCTGGGGGGCGGGCCGGGAGCTCGACCCCAACAACCCCACCGACGGTGCGCAACAGGAGCAGCCGCCGCTCTTTGTGGGGCGCCATGCGTGCAGGTTGAATGTGCTGGATGCTCCTTGTCGCCCCACCTTCCAATTGCTGTCCTTCCCTCTTCCCTCTATCACTTCTTCCCTTTCACTTCCCGGCTTCTCTGCGTTTTGCGTCCTCTGTTTCTTCCTTCCCTCTCTCCCTGACCCGGATCCCTTTTCATCCACCCTCCCTCACCCTCACCCGTACCTCTTCCGCGCTCATCCTTGCTGCTCCCCTGCGTGTCACGGGGCAGAGGCGCAGTCCCCTGTGTGCCTCACCCTCCACTTCCTGCTCCACCCTTTCACTCCTTGGCTTCTCTTCGTACTTCGACCTTTGTTTAACCCCAAAACCTCTCACCGCACCCTCACCTACCGCTCCCTCCCTCTCGCTCTCTCCGTCTCGCTCCCTCCCATGTGGTGCCATGGGGCAGAGGCGCAGGTGGGCGAGGTGACGGACGTGAATCTGCAGGACACGGTGCCGCCCAGCCCCGAGGCGTTCTTCGCGCGCCACGAGGCGGCGGCCAACGTGCGAGTGCAGTGGAACCGCGGGGTGGCCACGCGCCTCTTCCGCGAGGGCGGCCACTGGAGCCGCCTGCTGCACCGCCTCGGCCTGCGCCTGCCCGTCTCCTTCGGCTGCGTCATCCGCTTCCTGCTCAGGTGCCATCCGCCTCCAGCCCTTTCCGACCTGTGCTCTCCTGTGCCTTGTCTCAGCTCCTGCGCTGTTACCCCATTCAATGTGTTGCATTGAGTCATAACACATGCACCTGCGTTGCTGCCCCATTTCCCCCTCTTGCCATGCGCTTGTCACCCCATTTTCCATCCTCCTTGGCTTGTCATTCCAATTTCCACTCTCGTTGGCTTGGCGACATTTGTGCAGTGAGCGACCCTACAGCTGCATCAAACCCTCCTCCCCCCTCCTCCACATGTGTTCGCCCCTCCCCTCCACTCCCCATTCCACGCCCTGCACTGCGTTGCTCGTGGTGACTCCATGTGCAGGCCAAAGCTGGAAGTGCTGAGGGCGGTGGAGCAGCAGATGAGGGAGTTGGAGCGGCCGGGGGTGAGCAGCATCTGCATCCACACGCGCACGCCCGACGAGATGACTTGGACCAATCGGGGGGAGGTGCTTGGTGGGGAGAATGATGCCGCTGCAGAGCTGCTGGGATGGGCCAGAAACAAGCTCCTGGCGTGTGCGCAGGTGAGAGACAAAGCCCCTCTCACCTCGTGCTTCTGTAAATTTGTCAACTTAAGTGATTACAAGGTTTATTCATGTGACCACGTGGCTTGTCCTCTGTGCTCTAATCTCCTTGTTGTCCCCCCCGCTCCCCATTCACACCCTTGCCATGCTGGCTGCGCGGCTGTGTCACATGGTGGCTGCATGCGGCACGCGCGCACGCGAGTAGAAGGTGGAGGAGTTTTGGATCCCGGGGGACGTGGCAGTGCGGTGGGTGTTTCTGAGCAACTCGCGCGACATCAAGGAGGCGGTGCTGGCGCAGTACGGCGAGAGCAAGGTGCTCACCACGGGCATCACCCCCCTGCACACCGCCATGGTGCGTGCGGCAGCGGCGCGCGTGGCGTCGTGGCAGACGTCGGTGGCGGAGTGGGTGCTGCTGACGCGCTGCTCGCTCTTCGTGGTGACGGAGTCGGGCTTCTCCAAGACGGCGGCGCTCTTCTCGCTGCGCCCCCTGGCCATCTACCTGCTCGCACGCCACCACTACCGCAGTACGCGCAACCAGTGGACCGACTCCTGCGACCCCGAGAGGCCCGCCTCCTTCGCCCTGCTGGGCGAGCGCTGGAGCGGCGTCTGACCTCATCTGACCTCACCGCCCTGCCCCGCTGGTGCTTGGGGGGGATGGAGAGATGGGGGAGGAGCGAGATTATTTTGCAAGCTGAGCATTCCATGGCAGTGGTGCGTTCGGAAGCTCATCAGCATAGAGACACGGGCAGGCTGGTGCAAAATGCTTGGTTGGTACGGTGACAAAAGGGATGTGAGGAGTATGCGATTTCTTGGGAGAATCAATTTGGTGATGAGACAATGTCAAGTCAATAACGTCATCGCCTGGATATAAGACATATATGTCTTAACTCGTACACGGTAAAAAATGGTTGGGCTGTCTTGTATTTGGGACGGTTTATGGTGTCTTATAAGTCTTATAAGTGGATGAAGAACCGTTCAGAACATACCCCTTCGTTGTAAGGTTACCCCTAACCCTTGCACTGTCTTATCTCATACACACAAATAGGTGTCTTATAATGAGGCTACCCCGTTCATAAGACACCCAGATAATACGATATGCACCCCCTTTCTTCCGTTCAACATGTGCTGATTCTACCGCACTTGTTCATCAATGGTATGGTACCGTAATTCCCCGCATAGTACACCCCCCGAAATTGAACACCCCTGGGTGTTCAATTGCGGTGGGTGTACTCAAAAATACACCAGTTAGAACACCCCCCCATTTTTTAGTATTTTTTAGTACACCCCCTGAGGCAATATCGTTTCAAATCTGTAACAAAATTCCTGCACCTGAACGGGATTTCAGTAGGGGCGGCACGAATCGCCCTAATGCTGGTCGCGCAACTTGGGGAGGCTGCCTGCGATTGGTCACGAGCGTATGGTAGCGAGCCGTTTCGTGCCTGAATGGCGTAGCTCGAACTTCACGCACAGTGCATGAAATGTTTCACCCAGACTCGATAGGGCTGAGTGAGCTGAACTTTCACTACAGCTAATTATATTCTTTTATGTATGTCATTATATCATGGGTGCAAGCTTACATCCCCCCCAAAATTGAACACCCCTATCAGTACACCCTAGGGTGTACTATGCGGGGGATTACGGTACGTTCTCGAAAATAATGTGAACATTTTGAGTTCTAGGCGAAAGTTACAATGCTGCGTATATATAACACAAGTCGGGTTGTTGTGGATTACCTCACTCACTCCCCCCCCCCCCGCCTCCCCCCCTTATGCATCATGCCAAACATATCTGCACTTGTGAAGGGAACAATGCGGCCCAAGTTTGCATTTCTATGGCATGCTAGACTAGAAGCCATTCCGCACCCATCATTGCAGGTGCTTCTTGGGTAAGGTACCGGACATTAGCAGCGGATCAGAAGCTAAGGAGCCACTCGACATAACCCCTTGCTCCTCAGAGCACGTGTCAGCAGTGAGACTAGAGAAGCCAACAGACGTTTGATGATGATGAACAGAGGAGGCACTTGAAGTACCGCCTTGCTCCTCAGAACCCATCTTGACAGTGGGACCAGAGGCGCCAATCAAACTTCCAATTTCCTGGTCCGAGGAAGAAAATGGTGTGCTCATGTGCAACTGACGCATCTCCTGCTGCGAGTTCACCAGCTCGCCCAGCACGTGGAGCATAGAGGGGCGGGATGACGCAGGCATGGCAGTGCAGGAAAGGGCAAGGCGAACCAGGTGCAGCACTAAAGCATCTGGAGCATCCAAATGAGGGTCCTTGAATTCCGCCACTGCACCCAAGTCCACCAGTGGGGCCACCTGCCAAGTTGAAAGGATACATGACATGCGAAAGGTGCGCTATGAAAGAGTTCAGGAGTGTCAATTGAAGAGCTTTGAAGAGCATTAGAGTATAGGAGATTGGAATATGGAAGCAAACGAGGAAGATATAGAAGCATGCGATGGGTGAGTGGTTCAAAAATAGAATGTGTGGTTTGAAAACGCACTAGGGAGAAGAGCAAAAAGGTAGATGGCAGTAGGAAAGGAAAGTTCAATGTGTGACAGTTACAGGTGAGGCAATAGTTGAGTGTCCATCATTGTTATACTCGTGTTGGTCAATACGACATGTGTCATGTGGAGGTAGGAAGAGAGGATCACATGAACTTGCCTACGGTTTTTTACCAAAGAGCAAGCAAACCAATTTAGTGTTAAGCACACTTGGGCTTATGAAAATGGTGTTGGCACCTTCTTCTAGCCTTCGTATACCGTTGTGACCTTTGCCTCACCCATCGCTTGATATTGATGCGGGTGTCCCCTTGCACCAGCACAGCCTCGCGCCCCGTGAGCACCACCAGCATCACCAAGCCAAAACTGCAAGCCAGGCGAACAGAAAGGACATCATGCTCACGTGTGACACATTTAGCAATAACGTTGGATATCAACAAAGTCATCCTCACAAATATAGGTATGATCACAAGCACTCATATAGCGAGCCCTCATCTTTGAGAGTCCGAGCATCTAAAGGTCTTTGATTGGTCAGTCATGGCAAGGCAAGACATGTGTTAATGCCATCCATGGACTGCCAGTGTGGACGAGGCAAGAGAAAGGTGAAAAACTTAGTCAAGTATAAAAATACCCCAGGAGTTTTCACAAACATCCCATGCTTGTCGGATGTTTCGTCCAAATCTACTCAAATCCTGCACCAATCTTCTCACCTGCACCAACGTTCCCACCTGCACGAAACTTCTGACTTGTGTTGTGCCAATTCACTCACCTGTACACATCTGCGGCTGTAGTGGCCTTATGGGAATTGTAGTATTCAGGGTCCACGTAGCCCAGTGTGCCCACCACTCGAGAGGACGCCAAGGATGAGCACGTGGACGTGCTGCCACACAGCTTCACGAGCCCAAAGTCTGCAATCTTCGCCTGCCACCATCACCCACCACGGCATGCCCATGCAACATGAGCTTAGGTGACTCTATGCTCGGCTGTTCAAAACATCACACGATCTTTTAAAAGGATGGACAAGGGTAGAAATGAATCCTCCTTCCACATGCAAGGTTGCTTTAGAATCTTGACCATGCCTGCATTTTCCCATCGAGGAGAATATTGGCCGGCTTGATATCTCGATGCACAATCTTGAAGTCATGAAGATACTGCAACCCCTTGGCCACTCCAATGAGAACGTCCAGCCTTTGGCGCAGTGAAAGAGGGTTGGAGACGCCGGGACCGATCCAGCTGGCAAGGTTGCCGTTGGGCATGAGCTCGTAGACAAGAATCTGCTCCATGGTTCGTGTGGACGGGGTCAAAGTCGATGCAATAGCCCAACAGACGCACGAGATGCGGATGGTGCTTGCTTGCCATCCCTTTCACCTGATGGGGACAATGGTGAATAGATGAAAGGAGAAAGGATTATCCTTCCAACCAGCAGGCAATGTTGGAGGTGGCATAGGAAACCTACAAGAAAACGGGAAACCAGAAAGAAAGTGGTACCATCAATAACGTGGTACCAACAATTATGTAGTACCAACCAACAAGAACTCACAAAATGGCACCAGATACCTCTCTCTGGAAGTCGTTTGTGAGAACTCGAGCTCGTTTCACTGCCCAAGCTTGATTGCAATCGTGAGGAGAGACTCCCTTGTAGACATCCCCAAAGCCGCCACTTCCTATCCTGTTCTCCTCTGCCCACTCTCCTGTGGCCTTGGCCAGCTGTGCCAGAGAGTACTCTCGACACACGTATGGCTGTGTTACTTCCATGTCCACCACAACACCACAACGCTGCCCTCTTCGTGCTGCTGCTGCACCACCTGCTGCCTCCCCTTCTGCTGCTACTGATGGTGGTGTTGCTGCTGTTGATGATGATGCTGCTGCTGCTGCCACTGCAGCAGCTGCTGCCGCACTGTCTGCTGGTGTTGCTGCTACAGCTGCTGCTGCCGGCCCTTCTGCTGCTGATGGTGGTGGTGCTGCTGCAGCCGCTTCAGCAGCTGATGCCGCACCTTCTGCTGCTGCTGGCGGTGGCGTTGCTGCTGCTGATGGTGGTACCGCTGCAGCAGTTGCTGCCGCACCTTCTGCTGCTGATGGTGGTTCTGATGCTGCTGCTGGAACCACTGAAACAGCTGCTGCCGCACCTTCTGCTGCTGCTGAATCTTCCTCCTCACAGCGAGATTCTGTATAGGAACATAAGAGAGGGGAAGAGAGAGAAAAAGTACATACAGCAGGCAGCATCTGTCCGCCCCTTTGTTGTAACATTTTTATACAACATACATAGGCTAAATTGTGAGGTATGGTTACTAAGGGGCTGTTGGGTGCACTTCCACCCACAGTGTGTGGTTCATTTTGGTTGGGTTCCCAACACCTACTGCACTCCATCCAATAACGTTGACCAACGCCAACCAACAGCCACAATATTGTTGGCCAGCCCAGCCAACCATTATCAGGGCCTCTCACAACTGTTAACCAAGCCAACCCACACCTTCTCTCTCTACTTATGTATACCTCAGCTCATTCGATTCGAGCCTAATCAGCACAGTCTCTCATTTTCGCACCGTTTTCTCTTGGGAAGTGGCAACGATAGTCGTATTAGAGGTCGTCCAGCTGGAGAAACATCATGCGCACGTTGATAGACAGCTCCCTCACTGCCTGGGCAGAAAGGAGGGGGGCGGGTCGGACGAGGAGAGCGAGGGGGGAAAGTAGTTTGAAAGAGGAGTGAGAGAAGTGGAGGAGAGCAGGGAGAGGAGAGGGAGAGAGGAGGGAGAGGAGTGGGTGGGGGGAGAGGAGTGAGAGCAGAATGCATGCATCGATTTATAGGAGCAGTAGCACAGCATGCAAGCAATTACATTTTGACGGCTCAATAGGCAACACAGCACTTATGCATTAGGAAGGAGAGGACTTGGTCGCTGACATTCAAGGTTAGCCACTTGCCCATGTCCAGAAACATCTCTCTCCACGGGGAGAGGCGAGAACGGAGGGTGGTAGGAGAGAGGGGAGAGGGAGTTGGGTTGAGCAGAGCGGGAGAGGAGGGAGAAGAGGTGGGGATTTGAGGGTGAAACGCGAGAGAGGAGGGAAAGGAGGTGGGGATATGCAGGAGAATGGGAATGAGATGGGATGGAAGAGGGTCAAATGACAAAGCCAAGCATGTACTGTCTCATCATGAGCTTACATGTTAACAGCCACATTAGTGGCGAGATGGTGAAGTAATGAAGAACGTGGGAGACACAGGGCAAGGAAGCCCATTAGATGAGAGTAACAGTGGACAAGAAATACAAGGAACCTTATTGGATGGTGACACTTTTCAGGCCACCTAAAGTAGGCAGACCAGGTGAGTAGTTTTTGAACTTGATGTGATTCACAGCCAAGCTGGTCACTGGGACGGGACGGGATCACTGCACCCGACATGCTTCTAATGCTTAGAGCGAGTGCCACAGCCTGTGCAAACAGCCAAGGGCTACACACACTGCAAACAGCCAAGGGCTACACACACTGCACCCGCACTTGCCCTCGAACCACCGCTCGTTTCAGTTCAGCAGCAATCAGCATCCACTGACCATACTCTACCTGGTTCGGTGGCTTCAGTCCCTGCTACAGCCATAGGCAGTCCCTGCTACAGCCAAAGGCGGTCCTTGCTACAGCCATAGGCAGTCCCTGTTACAGCCATAGGCAGTCCGCGACAGCCAGACACACTTCAGAAGCAATCCAAGCACTCCACAGGGCTCAAGGCCCACTATACCTGACTGTGGTGGCTGTCAGCGTTGTGGTCGAGAGCAGCAATGACGAGCGGCAAGATGGTGGTGTGGTGCTGAGCCACCAGCGAGGTTAAAGATTTCGCTAGGCGAAATTTTCGCTTCGAAACTTTCGCCCGAAATTTTCGCTCGTTTTTTTAATATTTCGGCGAAATTTTGATAGGACCCAGGAAAAACGTGAAAACAAAAACTGGTTGAGGGGAAGGCCTTAAACACGATTGCGACTCCAATATCCACTATAAACGCAAGGATATAAGAGAGAGGAAGCTCTAGGCATGAAGCCATGGCGTAGTAGCGTGAGTGAAATTGAGTCCTCTAAAAAAGTAGTGACGGATTCTGCAAGGTGACGGTCTATGGTGCACTGTCAACTAAGCTTGACAGATTCGCGACCAACCCTAACTAATCGATCTTGAAGATTGACCCCCCACCACACAAAATCGTCACGTTTTGAGCAACCAAAATCCAACCAATTTTAATCTCTTGACCGCATACTACCGCTCTGGATCTAGAAATCCGAACCCAACCAATTTCGAAGTTGGATCCAGATCTCAATTCGACCCCCCTTCAATCCGCATTTGCTAGCTTCCTTCTCCAAACAGCGAGGTTTGAAAAATTCGCCGAAAAATTCGCCGATTTTTTGCACCAAATTCAAAAGCCGGAAACTCGGCTAAATAAACCGAAAATTTCGGGCGAAAGCTTCGATAGCGAATACTTCGCCCTAAATTTGAAAAATTCGCCGAAATTTTGAACCCTCCAGCGCCACTATGTAGTCGTTGCTCCACAGGCGCAGCGCGCGCTCCGCCACCTGAACGAACAAGGGGAATGGGGTTGAGGGGAAGGGGGATGGGGGGAGGGAGATACATGTTCGTTCAGCGCCACCCGAGCGTGACGAAGCAGCATGCGCTTCGTCACCTGCATGGGGGGGAAGGCAAATGGGGTTTGCGGGGGGAGGAAGGTGGAAGAGAGACATAATAGTTCCGCAATAGAAGCAGTCGTTGTTCCATCGAAGCAGCATGCGCTTCGCCACCTGCATGGGGGGGAAGGCAAATGGGGTTTGCGGGGGGAGGAAGGTGGAAGAGAGACATAATAGTTCCGCAATAGAAGCAGTCGTTTTTCCATCGAAGCAGTGTGCGCTTCGCCACCTGCATGGGGGGGAAGGGAAATGGGGCGGAGGAGGGGGAGGCTGGCAGGGTTGTGGGGTATATATATGGGGCATGGAATGTGAAATGTGACATAGGTGGAGCCTTAGGTAGGTAGGGTGTCACATGACACGTCAGGCAGGCAACTACCATCACATTGGCCAAAGCATAATGTCGCATCAATAAAATGCAGTAAAGGTTGCGAGCCCCACTCACTTAAACACAGCTCTTTTCGCTGTCGGTTTGTTCCTGAGAATGCTTAAAGCCCCTGATTGGTATGTCACACAATACTAGCGTAATCAAGCATCGAAGCTAAACTTTAGAATTCTGTAAGTTTGAGGGACACAATGGAGAGTGCGTTGTAGGGATTGCACGCGAAAGAGAAGCATCATGCTCCCTTGGAACCCTGAAGCTTGCATGATGTGCCCCACTCCATCACACCCCATCACACCTCCTCACACCCCATCACCGTATCACGCCCCTTTGGTCACTGTGACAGCCCGTATCCCCTGCTGGAACCGTAGTGTCACGACCATTTGACAGCTCGTGGTCTAGAGAGAGAATGCATCGCACCCCCTCACACCATATTACACCGCATCACACCGTATCTGTATTTGGGTGGGAGCTTCGTGGGAGGAGCTGTGAGAGCTGGAACAGCTGCATCACGACCAGCGACTTTTGCATGAAAATGCATGCCATGATACCCATTCACACCTCCTCACACCTCGCCACACCCTCTCAAACCCAACCCACCGTATCACATCCCCACGAACCGCATCACACCCCCCACGGTACCTGGAATTGAGAGGAGCTGAGGCAGAGCGCGATCTGCTGGAACAGCGGCGTCATCACCAAATGAGACTCGAGCTCCTGCGTGAGCTCCAGAATCTTCTCCAACTCTTCCAGGAAAAGCAGCTCGTTCTGGCTGTTAGTTGAGGGCCAGGACTCAAGCAACCCAAGCAGCACCGAATCCGCAAGATTCGGGTCTTTTTCCACAAACTGGGTGATGCAGTACGACAGCTGCCGGTGGTACATCGCCACGCACTTGGGCTTGTGCAGCGGAACCAGTGCTCGCTCCACAATCTGCTTTCGCTCCTCCTTACTAACCGGCATCACAAATCCTTTAAGAATATCCCCTATAACTCCAACAGCTCCGCGATGCCGTTACGCCGCTCTGACTTGATAAACTGGTAAAGAATATTGTTTATCGTTTCGCGGATAAACAGCCGGTGGACCGTTAATCTCAAGTAAATCTGGTGCATAATAGTCTTCAAATAGCCCCGCTCGCGAGGGTCCTTCGAGTCGAACAGGTTCAGCAGCTTTAAGATGAACTCCTGGTCTATGTAACGCTTCGCGTCGTCCGCGTCGGCCTCGCTACTAGAGACGACATACCAACGCAGGAACTCGTAGACGATTTGCAAATGCGGCCACGCGGCTTCCAAAGTCGGCTCCTTTTCCTCGTTCGCGGAATCATTGTCGAATGATTCCCACCCGGACGTCTCGTGCGCGGGCGGCGGTAACGGCCGGAAGAGATTAACCTCCAACATCCGCGAGATGCATTCGAATACCACCTCGTTGTATTTGCCCGTTCCGGATTTGACGTGGTCGACTAGCTCGATGAGAGTTTGCCGCTTAGTCTCCTTCTCCTCCACGTTTTTCATGGGGTCGTTAAAATCGTAGAGGTAACTGCAGAGGTGCAGCTTCTGGATAAGTGCCTGCTCCGCAAAATGCGACAAATCCTCCTGCGCAACCTCTACGTTCGCGACGCGACAAACGAGAGCCGTTGGATTCGCGATGCCTGGAGGCGAATGCGGGCTTCCCACAGCGTCCGCTCCCCCGCAACTTGCTGCTGCATTGCCTGCATTGTACGGCGACTCTGCGTGTGTCTGCTTTTTCCTACCCCCTACAAGCGTCTTCTTAAATGACTGAAGCATGCTAAGCCGCTTCCTGCTCGTGGAACCCTAGTAACTAATATCGACACAAAATCTTGAACGCCACGGATTCTTGCAGTACGATTATTCAAGTATGTTCGAAGTGAGAAGGTGAACAGAGCGGAAGAAGATACAGGCGTGGGCCCGTCACGGCGCGTACAAGACGAAGATGGTAACCTGTTTCGTTAGCAGTAGTCGCGGGCGAAAACACGAACCTACATGACATGGTAGTCGCGGTAGCACGACACCCCCGTGACAGGCAACGCTGGCGGTTCGACTGCCGACAGTCGAACTTGCTGGGCAGTTTTTGCGAGTTCTGCCAGAGTTGGCGGATTCAGGTCCCGGCTCGAACCACTCGATTGAAGCCAGCTCGAACCACGTTCGAATACACCTGTCCTCCGGTATTTCCACACCCCCCACCCTCGTTTTTGCCAGACACCCTATACGGCTTGAGGATCGATGAGACGGACACCCTGACACTACGGGTCTATCAGTAAAGAACCGCCAGGTTCTGGCCATTCCAAACTCAAGTTTGTAATCAGAGTGAGCGGGGAAAATTCCCATTGCCATAATGTTGGAGTGTTAAACTCGCATTGAGGTCGTGTCTTACTACCCTCGAAACTCCCACGATCGTTTCTAACTACCTTCGAAATCTTATTTTTCGAGGGTAGGTACCCCACGGCGTGAAGATAGGGGATGTGGAATTATCGCAGGATAGGTGTAAACGGTTCGAGCGGGGATGAAATTTCGGCAAAATTAGGGCGTGTTACATTTCTTACTTCAGCCCGTCCGGATTGCCCGTCGTCCGGACAATTTAGTGGTTACCGTATTCGTTAATGTTCGTATATTTTCTTGTTAGATCAGTTGCGACGTCGTTAACGTTCGGACCGCCGATGAAACATTTTGCGGTAAAACACCTTCCCAATTAGACCGGACGTCACCGTTCAGTAAGTGGACGGACGTCGCAAAAACGCAATCTTACTGGTCGACGAACTGGTTTCTTATATCGCCTGGCTGTTACCTTTATCGTTACGACGTCGAAATCATGGTTACAGCCTCGCAAATGCGACTATTTTCGTAAGCCCGAAAATGTTTCATAAACAGTGGACGAGGCTTAATCCGGACGCTGGACTCGGATTGTCAAGTGTTCGGAATCTGAACCGTTTTCAGACGGTCGTCCGGACGTGTACGGCTTTTAAAAAATGTAACGCGCCCTTACATAAAAGTAACGCGCCTTCAGGTTTCGGCCTCGCCAGTCCCAGGCCGAAGGTGTAAGGGAAAATTGTTATGAGTGCTATTGAGTGAGCGAGCGATAATTACACTATCGAAGCAAGGGTACAATGTGCTAAGGCATGAGCGAATAATGTATATAGTGGTAACGGTAATGAGCGGAAATTGGGGTGCGCGACGGGCCTAGCGCCGAGGGTGGGAAATGCCGAGGCGGAGGTCCGGAGCGCGGGTTACCAACCGAGCCGTGAGGTTGGGTCGCGGCGTGAACAGTGGCGGGAACAGTGTCGAGGCGAGTGTCGCGAGTGGTAACGGTTTAATGTTTGGATGCTAGTGGCGGGAACAATGGTGTACGCGCTGAGGAGGGACGTGGAGTAAGGAAAAGGAATTTTCCTTACACAACCCCCCTCCCCCCCCCACCCCCCCCTAAGGAGGCCCTCCTTACGAAAGAGCGTGTACATCTCGGAAATTTCGGCTTCGTAGGTACTCGGTGAGGACGGGGTGATTCTCAATTCTGTCCAGGGGAACCCAGTTGTCTTCGGTAGGTGTACGGTCCTTCCAGCGGATCAGAAATTCGATCCATCGAGCTCCTCGTGGGTCACGAACTCGGTGGATCAGAATCTTGTCGGGCGTGATTATTGGCTCTGTGGGTGGCCGTGTCATGCTAGCTGGGTGGTTGCGAGGCAGTTGGTTGGTGCTCGGGATATAGGGGCGGAGTAGGCTGACGTGGAAGAATGGGCTAACGTACCAGTCAGCCGGGAGGAGGAGGTGGGCGGTGACTAGTGTGATCATGTGGCTGATGCGAAATGGCCCGCAATATCCAGGGCGGAGTTTTGGGGTGACGGGGAGGCGGAGGTTTTGGGTGTCGAGTAGAACTAAGTCGTTGGGCTAGTAGGTGACAGGGCGGCGGTGGCGGTTGGCGTTGCGCTTAGCGATGATGTTTGATTTTTTTATTGCGTCTGCTGCTCGGGTTCGTGCGGCATGTAAGATTTCGGCGAATTGTTGCGCGCGTGGTACTGGGTTGTCGGGATTCAGAGTCATGGGCACTGTGGGGTCTTGTCCGTAGTTCAGGTAAAACGGTGACTGTTGGGTCGTGGCGGATGGCGAGTTGTTGTATGCGAACTCGATGAGTGGCAGTTGCTGTTCCCAGGTGGTTGGGTCGTCGCACGTGGCTCGGATGAGTTGCTCCATGGTCTGGTTTGTCCTTTCTGTCTGTCCGTCGCTCTCGGGGTGGTACGAAGAACTAAACTGTAGTCGAGTGCCGAACTGCTGCCACAGGTTCCGCCAGAAGTTGCTGGTGAATTTCGTGTCGCGGTCGCTGATGATTGCTGCTGGTATCCCGTGTAGTCGCACGACAGTGGAGATGAAGAGGCGGGCTGGTTCTTCGGCTGTGATTGATTTCTTGCAGGCTGCGAAGTGTGCCATTTTCGTCAGCCGATCGACGACAACCAAGATCGCATCGTTCCCGCTTGCCCCAGCTGGTAACCCCGTGACGAAGTCCATCGTCACCTGCTGCCATGCATGCTCTGGGGGTGGTATCGGCTGCAACTGTCCTGCCGGCCGCTTCCGTGATGATTTCATGAGTTGGCAGGTGGGACACGACGCTACGTGTCGCTGTACGTCGGTCAACATCTCAGGTCAGTAATAATATCGATGCATATGCTGCCGTGTTTTTTCTACTCCAAAATGTCCTGAGGGAACCGTCGTGTGCCTCCTGTAATAGTAGCTCGCGCAGTAGCATGTACCCTGGTACCCACATGCGGTCAGTGTCAAGATTACGAGACTGGAATGATTGAACTAACAGAGAAATCAGTACAAATAGCAAACCCTAGAATTGTGTACCCCATATAGGCTAACCCACTGTAGCCTAACAAATGCAACATATATAATGTTTGACACACCCCCATAGGCAAAGTGGGGGAGACCTAGGGGTCACAAGACCAGTCAAGGCAAAGCAAGGCAACAACAAGCTCAGGGTGGATCTCAAGGATACCACACAAATTCCGAGCACAAGCTAGTGGTCACAAGACCAGTTCACATGCAGGTTTATAACAGAGCATGAGATACAGTGATCACAACCTAGCAAGAGTAAACATGCAGGTATAGATATATATAGTAATCACAGTACAAGCAAAGTCAAGAGGTAAGCAAGTGAGGTCCAGTAGGCACAAGGCCTAGTAGAGTGCAGAAGCGCTGATGGTCACGAGGCTGAAGCGCCTTGGTGAACACATCAGCAGTGTTGGCCTCAGTGGCCACGTAGCGAATACAAAGCTGACCGCGCTGCTGCAGCTCTCGAGCAAGGAAGTACCGCAGGGCGATGTGCTTCGTTCTGTGCTCCAGTCTGTGCTCCTCACACAAGGCAATGGCAGCCTTGTTGTCGACGTACAGTACTGGAGGAGAACGAGGCGACTCTTCGAGGTCAGTCAGCAGGTAGGTCAGCCAGCGTAGCTCCTGGGCAGCCATGGCTGTAGCGTAGATCTCAGCCTCGCAACTGGAGCCGAGAACAGAAGAAGAGCGTGTAGAGCGCCAAGAAACTGAGCCAGAGCCAAGGCTGAAGGTGTAACCCTGAGACGACCGCTGAGTGGCCTGGTCATCTGCCCAAGAAGCGTCTGAGTGCCCTGTGAGCACAACTCGGTCTCGCCCTCCAAGCACAAGCCCCATGCCCGACGTACTGCACAAGTAGCGCAACACCCTCTTAGCGGCATCCATGTGCTCCTTCCTGTGACGGCCAGGAGCGACATAGCGTGCAAGGATGCTAAGAGGGTATGCAAGGTCAGGTCGAGTGCAGGTCATCAGGTACATGAGGCAGCCCACAAGCTCTGGATACGGGCCACTCGGCTCTACGGACTCATCCGAAGGCAGAGCTGAGAGCGAGTGACCGGTAGGCAGAGGAGTGGACTGAGGCGAGGAGTACGTGAAGCCAAAGCGCTGGAGAACCTGCTGCACCATGTGTGACTGAGTCAAGGTGATGGTGCGCCGTGCTCTGTCCCGGGTGATCCGCAAGCCAAGATAGCTTGTCAGCTCACCCAGGTCTGTGCACGTGTGTCTCCTCTGCAGCTCCGACTTCACGTAGGCGAGTCCTGCAGTGTCAGCAGTGGCAAAGACCAAGTCGTCGACGTACACGAGGATGTAGAACGGCGGCAGCGAAGTGTCAGTGCGCAGGAACAGCGACGGGTCAGCTGTAGAAGGCGCGAACCCAAGAGCCGCAAGTGTAGTCCTCAGTGTGTCGTGCCACTCACGCGGAGCCTGGCGGAGACCGTAGACCGGCCGCTGAAGCCTCCACTGGGTACCAGGAGGAAACGACCCAGTGAAGCCAGGTGGGCGGCGCAGCCAGATCTCCTCGTGCAGGCTGCCCTGCAAGAAAGCAGTGCTGAAGTCAAGTGAGTGAAGCTCGTAGTCGCGGTGAGCGGCTATGTGCAGCAGTACCCGAAGAGTAGTCATCTTCGGGGTGGGGGAGAATGTCTGGAAGAAGTCAACTCCCTCTCGCTGACTGAAGCCTCGAGCCACGTAACGGGCCTTGAAGACAGGCGGAGAACCCGGCGGCCGCTTCACCCTGAAAATCCACATGCCACTGACGATGTTCGCCCCAGGAGGGGGAACCTCGTCGACGTAGGTGCGTGTGGACTTCCAGGAAGCCATCTCGGCGTCCATGGCTGTCTGCCACTGAGAGGAGTAGGGACCCGCCATCGCCTCAGCGTAAGTGCGTGGGGTCGGGATGTCTGGTGCATCCGGGTCTCCCTCAGGGGCAACTAGCAAGGACACGAGACGGGGCAAAG